GATCATATAATTATACATGTACTTGAAAGGAAACGATACCACTTTAGAAACACATAAAATAAGCCTCACAAAAAGTTACACTTTTCCCACTGTATTACAAAGGTTGGTCTCGGGCTGGAATGTTATACGGTTACAAAGAAATGCAAGACTATTCATAGTTACATTCGGACTGTAAAATTCTCCAGTGCATGTACCATATTTGTGCAATTTCTATAATACATTACGTTCCATGCAGCAATATGCTAGTATTCTAAAAGTACTAGTATTTTCATTCCTAAAAATATCGTTGTATCAAACTCTTCGCCCATTAATATCTTTGCATGATAACCACTCTGTACTTCTGATAACCATTCTGTACTTCTGATAAATACTCTGTACTTCTGATAACCACTCTGTACTTCTGGTAACCACTCTGTACTTCTAATAACCACTCTGTACTTCTGGTAACCACTCTGTACTTCTGGTAACCACTCTGTACTTGTGGTAATCACTCTGTACTTCTGATAACCATTCTGTACTTCTAATAACCACTTTGTACTTGTGGTAACCACGTTGTACTTCTGGTAACCATTCTGTACTTCTGATAACCACTCTGTACTTCTGATAACCACTCTGTACTTCTAATAACCACTCTGTACTTGTGGTAATCACTCTGTACTTCTGATAACCATTCTGTACTTCTGATAACCACTCTGTACTTCTGATACCGGTAATCATTCTACTTCTGACCTCTGACCTTCTGATAACCAGGCCGTGTTTCTGGTAGCCACTCTTCGCGTCTGGTTGCCACTCTGCTAAATTGGTAGCCACTCTGTACTTCTGATAACCACTCTGTACTTCTGATAATCACTCTGTTCTTCTGGTGGCCACTTTGTGCTGATGGTAGCCACTCTACACTTTTAAATAGCTTAAGTTTGGTTATTAGCAGCTTAATGGATATGATCCATTAGAGATTTAAACTTGTGAGTGATGTTAAAAAAGAGAGAGGTTATATCGAAATTGGCTAAATAGGATTCATACACCAACTTGAGAATTTGAATTAGGCAATTTTATAAATAACTGTAGACGTACTTTTTTCCGAGTGGAATTTTTCCGCTAAAATTTGTTACAGCGTACTTAAGACACACAATGGCAATCCAAGAAATCCGCGTAATTTTCTACCCGCGGGTTGAATAAAAATTGTAATTTTGTGAAATTATGGAAAAGGACGTTTACAGTTTCCGATCGAATCAGAATTCGGAAGTAAGCAAATAGTGAGGTGCAGTTTGAAGCAATTTTTCAATCATTGAATATCAATGGGTAACAACTTTATCTATGGTGGTAAGATTTTAAAGATGGTCTGGCAAATATTTGAATGCACATAGAATTTCCCCCCTAATTTTTTCTCCAGGAAATTACTACTTAAAAGAGTATGTATAATTAAAGATGGCACAATTAAGTTCCTAAAAATGCCATATTTGTTTGAAGTCAACATTTCGCATGTTGTATGGTCGATACAATGACTTTGTCAGCAAATACAATCTATCATTAAGTCGAATGCTGTCTGACGTTTTTCATACTAATTGTTAGGCCATTTTTACACACTGAATTGTCTATCGGTTTCTCCGTTTGCCCGATCATGACAAGGAGCACACGGCGGTTGTGACCGGTAGACAGGGATTGTTACTCCGCCATGCCACCTGATCCCATTTCTGATGTTTTTAGAGGTCCGTGTTTGCTCTGCTCCTGATCTGTTTTGTATCCTTGAACTTTTGAGCTTGATTACTGTTCGTTATCTCTATGTTTTATTTATCCATGTAACTGCTAGCCGATGCATATTAATATGTGCATATTTACATTTATTGACTGGGTACGAGGACAACATGTTGTAGGACCAATAACCAAACTGTTTGCACAAAAAGTCATTTTGTCAAAACATAGTCAATAAATGTTTTGTTATACCTTTTACTTTTAATTTTGACATATTTTGCTCTGCTTTCACGTTTGCTATAATTGATAAGATATAGCTGATCCCGCGCCAACACTGTAAAAAATCGTTACAAAGATCCAATTTTTGACCGCTCAGAAAAACGTTGGAAAATGTTTGACTTTTTTAGTATAGATTTTTAAAGGAAACAATTTTTAAAGGTATAACAAAATATGCTGCGCATCCCTGGTCTTATCCGCGACTGTCCATTTTGTTTACAATGAATTTGTCATTAGCTATGTGTTACCTGACACAATCATGATACGAACAAATAAAGTGCATGCCTGGATTGTAATTATCAATATTTTGAAAGATTTTTGTGTCATTTTCGATCACAATAGCTCCAAAATTATATACCAATCCAGGAATGCACTTTTGTGTTCGGATAGATTGTTAGATTTTAGTTTTCAATTCAAAGTTTCACAATATCCTATTCTTAATTAAGAAACTGTAAAGTTTCTATGATGTTCAAAATTCTACCTTTCTGAAATCATTCTCATTCATGTAAATCTATACAAAATATATCAATTTTAAATACATTATTGTGAAAATTTGAATATTAAGAATTAAAATTTAACAATCTATCCGGTTAAACTTATACATTTTACATAATTATATAAACATAGTTATTTTCATGATTGTTGAAAAAATTTTGTTCGTAGCATCTGCCCTTAATATTTACGACACCAGTTTTCTACACATTTTTTATTTAATTCTCAGGACTAAGAAAATCATGTTTTGATTATGAGAAAGGGTAGGCCCTTAATTAGATCTACTTCTTTCTTTTCACAGAATGGACAGTCTGAGGCCTTTCTTCTTTTCGTAAACCATATAATCCATTTAAAAAAATGCAGTGGCGGATCCAGAAGTTCATGTGGGGGGGGGGGGTTTGAGGCCCATAGGGCCGAAGGGGGAGGGCATGGGAGGGGGTGTCCCCCTCCCATAGGTGGGGGTTCGGGGGGCCTCCCCCGAGAATTTTTCTTGAGAAATGGCTCCAAATGGTGCATTTTCCAGCATTTTAGATTGAATTAGTTAGTGATTGGTCACTTTTTTTCTCTAGTTTTTCAAGACCTACCTACCCAAATTTTCAAGAATTTGAACAAAAAATTAAAATTTTGGGATTATTTTTAACTTCCATGTAAACATGAAAAATGAGACTTTTCTTTTTAAAAAAAAATTAAATGTAAAATCTGATAAAATATCGCCATTTGATAAATAATATCCAATTCTTCATTTTAAAATGCACGCCCAGTATCGCATGTGAAGCTCTGACTACCAATGTACAACTGATGTGCAATTTCCCAACACTTGGAAATTAGAAAATTTGGATTCTGTGTAGAAACCCTAATAACTCTTTTCAACTACTTGACTATACTGTTCATATAAATTGAATTATAAACATTAATGATATTTCATATTGAAGAATAAATATAAAATATGTTGGAAAATTGTTGGAATTATTGCTTATTCATGGGGGGGGGGGGTAAATTATAATTTCTAACACAAATGCACTCTTTAATTCTATTTTTTTTTTACCCACTTACCAGCCCAAAGTCTTGAAAACCAGTCAGTAGTGGCCAATTCTTGTTTTGACAGGACTGGACTTCTGCTTTTATCACAATTCATTATACAAATAATTTAACTATCACAGTTTATTCAATAAAGTATCATTTATCGAAGAAAGAGGATAAAAATCTTGAAAAAATGTTACTTTATCAATACCAAAACAATACGGTAATAACTCTGTGCAGTTTTGGTTGTTAATGTATGACCTTGTGTCATCACTAGCTGCACGGACTATCATGATCTCTGTACTGTTGATTATACCTGTGTATTGTGTGCGTTCAAGCGGAAAGGGGTTTCTGGTGGTGGCTGTATATTTCACCTCTGTGTAAACAATGGGCTTGGATAGACTCTTATTTATGAAATATATTGTTAAATTGACACTTTAAATTTTTTTTTTGATTGGGCGGGGGGTTTTCCCGAACCCCCCCCCCCCCAAACCCCCCTGAATCCGCCACTGAAATGCGCCCAAACGTGACTTTCACTAAACGTTCAACAGTATTTTTTTCGCTAAATAATTTATCAAGCTGTAAGGGAAAAAAAGGATATTTATTAGGGATGCCAAATCGGTCATTATTTGATAATCGGTTACTCGGACGATTTTCCGATCGAGTCATAACCCGGGTACTCGGAAAAAGTATGTATTATATAGATGTAAAAGTTTTTGAAGTTTTTATTTATGACGGTCTTTGCCAAAGGATTAATCAATTATATGACATTCGATATTGAATACGGCTAAAAATATTTTATTTTTCTTCTCAGTTTGCCCTGATGCGCTACACGCTGGAGATAACGCAGCGTAACGCTATTACATGTATATAAAATACGTTATATTAACGTTATTTTTTTCTGTTGTTGATATTTTTCCTTAAAAAAAAAAATTTAATACTATTCTAAATCTTCAAAACTAATTTTCTATGTTTACAAATTTAAGATGAAGGGAGAAAAAACTGAACTGGAGAAAAATTTCTTATTAAGTGCGTTCTGTTTATAGTAGTTTTGTATAAGCCCAATCACTAAATTTTTAAAAATAGATTACTAAGTGTAGCAAACAAGAAATAAATCAAAAAATAATTCAGAGAAGCAACCTGGCGTGTTTTCCGCTTATGGTGACGGAGTTTGGGTCAGTAGGGGATATCCAACAGGGACCTATATACTAAAAGTTAGTATATAGGTCCCTAGTATATAGGTCCCTGATTCCAGATAAACTTTTTTTAGGAAGGCAGAGGCGGAGAGGCATTTTCTGTGGAAAACACAAACTTAATTTGAAGCAAAGGATATGGATGTTTTGGCAGGAGGTCAAAATTATCCGAGGCCAAATTGATTGAAGTCTACCCCCAATGCCAATTCACGTTTTTTAAAATGCTGGAAAGACGGATTTTTTTTTTTTCACTTTTAGTATCTATCAAGTTGCTTCCGGTGTTGAGTTTCCTTTTACCATTCCGCGTTCTCTGCAAATAATGAAATATTGGCAATTTCGAGGCACTGAATCATAATAAGATTACGATGTCGAGATCCGATACTGATATATCTGCGATGATTTGTAGTCCAGATTGCCCACCGCTAATTTTTAACAACATGACTAGTCAGTGGGAATCAAGACAATGGAATATAGAGCTGTTATCTCATCAAATCACACAGAAGTTATCTTGCAAGCTTTCTCCAAGGGAAAGTCAAAGTAAGATGATCTAATATAAAGGACATGATTGCGATTCTTTGGTTTTACTTGTAAGCCTGTTTGTATAGAAGTTTTGGTTTCTATTAAAATTCTACTCTGCACAAGAGGTGCTTTGTGCGACTCCCTGAGCTCGCCATTTAACAATATTTAGAATCTATATTGAAAGCAATGCAATTAAGCCAGTATATTCATGACAGAAACCAGAATATTTGATTATGCCCATACAGTATATTTCAGATTTATGGGAGACACAGTGTATTCATGAGGATGTCACATTGAAAGAATTCTATTCATGGATGCAAACAAATGATGATAAATCAAATCCACTTTATAAATACCAACCGGAGGACTTCTCGTGTTACATAGATTATAAATATATGAAAGACATTTCACCCAAAGAACATCTTAAGGTTAGAAAATATCTTTTTTTTTCTATAGTATGTACACCTATGTGCACCAGTAAAAAATGTTTATTGCTTATTAGCATCTTGACATTGTCAAGGTTTTGTGATATCGTACCTTTTCTCTTTATGTAGAGGAACAATATCACAAAACCTTGACATTGTGAAGATGTGCTTATACATGTAGTGTTTTTCTTTTGTATTCTTACAAAACAAACTGGGAAAATATCTGCTTTTTCAGAGCTCCAGATAATTTTTTACCTCAAAGTGTATTTACTCCCTGATTTTCAAATCAATGCAGATTTTGCTTTTCAGCTAAATAATCAAAGAGTATTTTGTTAATCTATTGCTCTTTTTACATCTAATGTGATATTTAGCTTGTTATTGAAATAAGTGTTTTTGAAAGAGGAATGTAAAATACGGACAGTTTCTGCATTAATCAATTACTAATAGGTTGATGAAATTTTAAAAATTTTGTCAGCTTTATCTATAACCGAGAAACATTTCATTTCTTTCACCAGAAAGACCATAGGGTAGGCAAAGTTACCACAGGCACAACGGAACTCCATTTAAGATTAGGCCTATATCGATCGTAGGAAGAGTTTACCGAGAAAAATATCCTTCCTTTGGCCAGAAAAAATTAATCTTTAGATTCTCATCCCCATCTGCCCCTCTCAAAATGTCCCACCCCGTTGTTTTTTTTTTTAATCAAAAATATATATTTATATTAGGTTTTCATATATTGGCATCGATCGAGGTAATAGTTTTAGAGTTCGAGTGTAGAGTTTGCGTTAAAAGTCTCGTGGCGCTATTTATAGCACAGGAGCATGTGGAAAGCAAAAAAGGAATTATTTTCATACAATTAATAAATGTTGAAGGCGAACTTTAGATGACATTACTACAGAAAATGGTAAATATATAAGAACTGATTAACAGTGATAAAGGATAACTTAGACACCATTCGTGTTTTGCGCAATTTTGACAATATCGACGTGTACGCGTCAAGAACGAAAATTTGGTTGTTATTTGAACAGTGGAAATCTGTGATATTTTTAGACAAAATATGAATATTTAATATTCAAATCATTCTCCCGAACGGAAAATCGAACTATGTTATTTCGAATACGCTTATAAATCACTATTTCCTTTCGATAAAAATTGAAACACTGACCTGACCTCAATTCACATAATTAAATCGTACTTGTGTCATTCAATCCGTCGTACGCAGTACTTTTGTAGTGTAATGCTTATTTATGATTGCTAATGCGTAATTGTACGCCCTGATTTAATTTCTAATGCGTATTTTGAAAAATTCAATGCATATTTCTGCAAATACGCACCTTATCTGGAGCTCTGTTTTTAATTAAGGTAGTTGGGAGAAAACCTTTACAAGATTTCCCAAATAATGTATCTGTAAAAAGTTATAAATTACTAGATAAAAAAAAAAACATACACAAAATATTTGCAAGAAAACTTGCAAAAATAAATGTTCATTCTTTATGAAATTAATATATTTAAATTATTTTGCTGTCAAAATCAGAGCAGAAAAGAAAAATTGTCTAAGAACTGGTTACATGGTAACATGTTGACAGAAAGTGAATTGAATACAGTTTCATCAAGGCTAAAATAATCACATTACCAGTAAATATTTTCCAGGCAGTAGACTGGGAAGTGTTCGGATTTCCAGGGCGGGACGGAACAGAAAGCACGATCTGGATTGGAACAGAAGGATGTTATACTAACTGTCACTATGACACATATGGATTTAATCTGGTAGCACAAATTCAAGGAAGGTAGGTAGGATAATGACAAAATGTTATGCGTTTTAATAGTACTGCCACAACTCTAAATCTAAATGCTGTATTATATTTTGTATTAGGAAGCGCTGGATTTTGTTTCCTCCCTGGGAGAGTTTCTATCTTTATCCCACAAGAATTCCTTATGAAGAGTCAAGTGTGTTCAGTGAAGTGAATGTAAAAAATCCAGATTATCAACAGCATTCAGAATTTAAGGTACTGTACATATAATTTGTATAAATTTACAGGTGTTTAAAAAAAAATTAATTTCAGTTTTAGAAGAAGTACTGGTTTGAAGGATTTATGACAATCATTGTAAACATCAAGGGTTCCATGGTCCTTGAAAATCACCTGAGTATTATATAGCAAGTTTTTCTCAATATAAACTTTATACATATCACATTTATTAATTGCTCCATAAAATTTTGCAAACAGTTTGTTTTGGGTACAAAACCAACGAGTAGGTCTAAGGGTGCTATTCAGACTTCTGAAAGAGAACTCATTATGATACACTCATATACCAAAAATCAGCTCAATATTTGCAAGTGTTTAGAAAAAATGTGCGGAAAACCAAGTGAGACAGACAGACAGACAGAGGGACAGCTAGACAGGTGGACAGATGAGGAGGAAACCTATAGTCCCCTATGGTTTCACTGGTAGGAGACTAAAAAAATTAGACATGAAATTTACATGCCTGCAGATATTGTGCACTGAAACTATTATTAAAATTGGCTCAATTAACAATTTCAAAGATAACTAGACCTTTTTTGTCGTTCAACAAAAACGGAGGGCTTTTCGACGCTTAAAATCACAAGGACCTTAAAGAGCGATAACTCTAATTAAATAAAAAAACATTTTAAAAAAATAATCAAACCGGATCAAGTCTTCAGGAGCTTTTAAATATGAAAACCTGAAGAGTAAGTAATTCTCACTAGAGCTCTGCAGAGGGAGGTAACTCTTACAATGTTATTTTGAAAATTACTTAACGTTACTATATTTCAGGTGTCTAAAACACCTATAAGGGGTCAAAAAGTGACCCCACGGACCATAATTTTCAAATTGTACCCTTTATGCTGAACTCAGAACCGAAAACTGTTCAAAAATTCATTGAGAAATAAAAATGTTACAAGGGAAAATCTGTTTTAAATATAAGCCCCTTGAAATCCCTTATTTTTCAGAATTTTATATTCAGGCCCTATAGGGGTTGAAACAATATCAAAGTCATTATAACACTGAATTTTCACAAGAATATCTTATTTAGTTTAGGAGATATCGTGACATGTGCATTTTTCTATTTAACATGGGAACTCCCATAAACAAATTCAGAGATTCATAAAACCGGAAGTACTTGTCATATGCATACCAAACTTGAAACCTAAAGAGTATGTAAGCCCGCCAACAGATATGCAAAGGGTGATAATTCTTACTTCATCATATTTGAAATAAATAAAAATTACATTATTTCAGTCCTCTGTCACTCCTAAAAGGGGTCAAAAAGTGACCCCACGGACCATAATTTTTAGATTGTACTCTTTAAGCTAAACCCAGAAAAGAGAACTGTTTAAAAATTCATTAAGAATTAAAAAAGTTATGGACAAAGGTCAATTTTCATCTCTGGCCCCTAGAAATCCCTTTTTTCCCAGAAATTCCTTTTCAAACCCTAATGGGGTTGAAATAATATCACAGTCATTATATAGCTAAATTTTCACAAGAATATCTTGATTACTTTAAGAGATATCGTGAAATGTGCAATTTTCCATTTAACATGGGAACTCCCATAGACAAATTCAGAGATTCATTTAACCGGAAGTACTTGTCATATGCATACCAAACTTGAAACCTAAAGAATATGTAAGCCTGTTAACTGATGTTCAAAGGGAGATAACTCTTACTCAACTATTTTTGAAATGAATAAAAATTACATTATTTCAGTCTTCTATAACTCCTATAAGGGGTCAAAAAGTGACCCCACGGACCATAATTTTTAGATTGTTCTCTTTGATCTGAACCCAGAATAGCAAACTGTTTAAAAATTCATTGAGAAATAAAAAAGTTACAGGAAAAAGTATGTTTTCAATGTTGGCCCCTAGAAATCCCTTATTTTCCCGAATTATCTTTTAGTGACCTAATGAGGTTGGTACCGTATCAAAATCATTTTACACTGAAAATCTCACAAGAATATCTTGATTATTTTAAGAGAAAACGTGCCACGACTGATTTCAATTTAACATAGAAACTCCCATAGACAATTTTCAAAGACCCCTAAAACCGGAAGTTCGGCTTGGATCGATATGAAACTTACAGTATATGTTCAACTTATTAGTTTTAACATATTTCAATGCCCAAAATAATTTTCAAAGCTTAATTGTGACTTTTAAAAATTTCAACCCCCCTTTTTGAATGTTTGAAGTCCTATATCTCAGAAAGTATCAGTGGTCGAAAATCACCACCGCTAACTTTTTTGTAGGTATTGGTCTCTAAAATTTGTATCTTGAATTTGAGAGTCTAGACATTCAAAATGAGAAAGATTTTAGCTTCTTTAGGTATTTCAGTTTTTCTTTAGTAGAAACCGGAAGTGACTAAACCGGAAGTTCAGTTCCTTACATACGCGAGATATTTACATTTGCTATTTAGAGGTTATCAGAGAAAAATCCTATTTCTAAAGGTACTCCTCAAATGCTGAACGAAAAAAGTGTTCAGTATAATAATAATAATAATAATAATAATAATAAAAAAGACGAAAACAATAGGGCTTTTCGCCTGAAAGCGAAAAGCCCTAATTAAAATGTTCAGAAGAGTATAGATTCACACCTAGACAGACAAAAATAAAATAGTAAAAGGTTATCCGAGTGACTCGGGTGTTTTAAGAATAGAACGTACATGTATATATATTTCATAAAAGTGAATGTCTGTTTGTGGTTCATGTACAGTGTATATAAAGAAAGCCAGTCAGGTGATTCAGAAAAAGAAAAGAACGTTTATTTCTTTATGGTATAGTTGTTTTACATATATCTACAGAAAGCCAATCCCTACATTGTGATACTGGAGCCAGGACAGGTCCTGTACGTACCTCGTCATTGGTGGCACTATGTGGAGAGCCTTGAGGATTCAATCAGCATCAACACGTGGATTGATACAGTAAGGGTACTAATCCTGCTCAGTGAATAAAACATGATTTCTAAGTTTCTTCTATTCAGTTTGTTTTACAGTAAACTCCTGCAAATTTACTCTTCTCTCAACTGTGCAGAAATAATGAAACTTTAGATGATAAAGGACTCTCTGTTTATCAAGGAAACAATAAAAAGATTGGTAAATCTTTTTTAAAGCTTTCTTATTGAGAAAAACAGAAGTTGAGAGTTGAAAGCCATTCAAAGCATGAACTTAATGACAATCTCCAAATTTTTTTGTTGGCATCATATATCAACAAGACATTCAATGTAATAAAATAAATAGTGCATGTTTTGAGGGTAACAGCTAATAAAATTGACACCCTGAGAGAAAATAATTGTCAAACTACATCTGTAGTTTATTTTACACGTACTGTACAGTAGATCACCAATTTTTCGCAACACCTTATTTTCACGAGATAGGTATTTGGTATTTATAAGCGAGACAGAATTTTCACAAATTCTGGGTATTGTTGTTTATAATCTATACCATAAAAAATATACTCAAGAAAGAAATTTTATCGAGCAGACCTGCTCCTGTAATTATGCAAAAATAAAGTTCTCGTGAATTAGTGATTTACAGTTTGTTTACCAAGGATGGTAACACATGGTAGCATATGCTGCCAGGGTAGTCATTATTCATAAACACAAGAAAATGCAGTGAATATAAAGTAGTTACTGGTATATTCATGTATAAAGATGATTCACCTAAACAAATTCATATATCACCTTCACTTGTTCTGAAGAAGATAAAATATACAAAGTGCTGTTTGCAGGAAGAGGACTTAGAAAGCCGTGTATCAGAGGCCATTACAAGGTGCTTGTTTTCCACACTGTTAGGGGCTAGGGACCAGTTAAAGGAAGATCACCAAGAGCACCAGTCAAAGAAAGATCATAAAGAGGATAATTGGATAAACCCCGGCGAGGTTAGTGGATCAATATTAATTTTTAATAGTTTTTCATTAACAAGTGCTATGTGAAAGACTTCCTTTATATAAATGATATTTGTTAAAAGAAAGCATTTATTATTGCAGGAAATTCTGCCACTTGATACAAATATTCAGCTCTTACAGTTGGCACTGACAATGAAATATGGTGCAGAGGAGAAAGATAAAAATACTCAGAACATGTTGTGTAATGCTCTCAGAAACATTCCAGTTCGAGGCAATGACAGATTTTACAGAAAGAAGAGAAAATTTAGTGAAAATCTGGAAACTTATGATAAAAGAGAAGCAGCCAAAAATCTTAAATCTGAACAAGAAGAAAAATGTAAGCTTGATAGGGGAGATAATTTAAAAGAAGATTTAAATGAAGAATTGTGTTCTCAAGATTTACTTACTAGTAGTGGACATGATTTTCCTTATATTGTTATTGTTGAGAGTAAAATCAAAGAAGATGAAAGCAAAGAAATTAAACCCTCCAAAAATGGAAAGACAGACTTAAAATCTAAGACTCCTGCAAACCTGTGCAAGTCATTTGCTGAAAGGTGTAAAAATGAAACTTATTCTAAAGTGTTTGAAAGACTGGTCAAAAGTGTGCTGCATCCACATGTTATACAAACAATATTAACACAGCTTAATCAATAATAAACAACTCTAACATTCAACTAAAAGTGTTATTGAATAGCCAACTCTGTGAACAATAACCAATGCCAATTTTTTCACACATAGTTTTTATAGTTAAAATAATACTACATTTGTAAACAAGATGTGCTTGTGAAACACTGATGCCCCCATATGGCAGCTCATGGCAAAGGTTAAAGTTTTTTAAATACAAGTCAAATTTTCAAGGTCAATGCAAACACATCAAAATTGTTGGTAAACCAAGGGAAGGTCTTGTCGCAATGAAAACATGTGTGAAATATGAAAGCTGTAGCAGCAACTGTTGAAACTCCAAGGTCAAGGTCAATGCCAAAATTTTGGAATCCAAAGGAAGGTCTTGTCACAAGGAATATACATGTGAAGTATGAAAGCCCTAGCACCAGCTGTTCAAAATGTTTCGCTAAGGTTAAAAGTAGGTCAAACTCCAAGCTCAAAGGGTCAAAGATGTTGGTATCCAAGGAAGGTCTTGTCACAAGGAATGCACATGTGAAGTATGAAAGCCATAGCTCCAACCAATCAAAAGTTATGGCCAAGGTTAAATTTTTCAAAATTAAAGTAGGTCAAACTCCAAGGTCAAAGGGTCAAAGTTGTATCCAGAGGAAGGTCTTGTCACAAGGAATACACACGTGAAGTATGAAAGCCCTAGCACCAACTGTTCAAAAGTTATGGCCAAGGTTGCTACATTTTTTCTTGAACATGTACCAATTTTCAATGAATAACTTTTTTTTTTTGATTTCCATACTTTTATTATGGATATGTACATGTGCATATAATGAAATTCATGAGTGCCAATGTCTCTTAATGTAGTTGGCAATTAATTTCCATGCAAAGGGTTTCAAAATAATTGAAACTTAAATTGTTTAGGAACAGTATACATATCAGCTGTATTGCATACCAAACATTTCACAAATTAAAATTCATCTCTGTATTAAGGAAACTTCATATTAAATAAATACATTTACAAATAATTACCTCACCTGACCACTTTAAGAAAAATTATCACAGTTAAATAAAATATTTGAATACAGACAAATCTTTCGAAATCAATTCCAATGAAACTTTTCATAGTTTATAATTTTATCTCCTCTGTCCTGAGGGAATTAGCACTTGCTATTTAATACTGGAAGAAAGTAATAAAAGACGTGTCAGGAGTTGAATGTACAGTTGATCTGTATTTCACCAAAGTTCTGTATTTTCACCATAGTTGGACACCTAAATATACAGAAGACAAGATGAGGTCCTTTTGCCTTCATGAAATGTAGCAGAGGTCCTCTGTCCCCTCAGCTATGTAACATGTAACAGAGGTCCTCAGTCCTCTCAGCTATGTAACATGTAACAGTGGTCCTCTGTCCTCTCAGCTATGAGAAATGTGACATGGGATCCTCCGTTCTTCTTTGTTTCATCCTCCAGGCCTCCATCTCCTCTTCACTAGGGGCTACGTTAGTATACATACTGTTGTATGGTCGCTTACGTTCATCCATAGACAGAAGATGATCTGCTTTCTTCTGCTGCTCCTCCTCTTTCTTCAGAGCCTAAAATGTCAATTTCAAAGGTGTAAAGAACTTTAACATCTGTACAATTCAAGGTTTCAATAAGTATTTCTCATCTGAGAAGATACATGCCAAACCCCTGGGTTGTGAAAATGCATATTCAATTACAAACTAGGGCTCAACCCTTCGAGAGGTTTGAAGCATTAAACATGTATATGCAGTTTGATGCATTACATAAAGTATGTAAAATTTACACAGTTTTGTCAAAACAGACATACACCTGAATAGACACACTGACCACCAAACAAACAAGACAGTTAGGAGACTGTAATTCTTATACAGAAATGAATCTCCGTTGAAATCTTACCACATCTTGCCAGTCATAAGCTCATATTTGGTGAAGAAAAATTATATACATTCCAAAATATTCTGTTGTTCATTATAAATCAAGCTTATAAATATGCAACCAAACTTAACTCATATAAATGTTCTTGAACAGAAGTACATGTACTTCTGATTATACACTTTTTCTAAATATACATTTACTGAGTAAAGAGCTTTATGTGCTTTGCTGCATCGTTTGTATAATCGTATAAAACATTAGAATAAGTACCTCTTTCAGTTTTCTTTCTCGTATCGCCTCTTCATCCTCCGACTCTGACTCGCTGCTGCTGCTACTTTTACTCTTCTTTTTGTGTTTCCTCTTATTTTTCTTTTTCTTCTTCTTTTTCTTTTCTTTTGATAATAATTTTTCCTGATGTTGCTATAATAAGGAAAGAAATTATAGGACTGAGGTACTCAGAGTACAAAACATCAATATTCATGTTTATCATATAGTTAATAGTCTATAATAAAAAACTACTAAAAGTCTAATTGAATATGAGTAGGCCTCAAAACATTCCAAATGCTAGCATTCAATATCAAAATGTGTCTTTGTAAATAAAAAATGTCATCTGATCAACAGCTCAATGGTAATATTTATGATGGTAGTGGCAGCTGACATGTAAGTAAGATGTGTCTATTTCTATACAAAATTGAAATTATTATTACTAATCCAATGCCTATAAACCCCAATAAAAATGTCAGTAAGCAAATCTCCGTGCTTGTAGGGTCATTGGAATGATGTAATATTGAACACTTCCAGGACAAACGCTGCTATTGCAAACTTAATGTTAATACTGGTTTTGAATAATTCTCATTAATTTGGAGTTATTTCATTTAAATGATTAATATAAATCAATAGGAAAATGTTTTAGCTATGTAAAAAAAAAAGAGTTATAGAACTTAAATTGGTGAATTTTGGGACTTGTTGGCTGTACAATGCACTCACAAGCTTATGCAATATTCAAGAAAAGTTCAAAAACCCTATAATATTGCACTTGTGTAACTTTTGACAGTCAACAAAGGACTAAACACAGAAATATTTGAAGAATGCTCATTCTAACATCAGATGACTTGAATTTGCAAGTCCATGCTAACATGAATAACTTTCAGCAATTCAAGTATACAAGTAATCTAAAAATATTTGCCCAAATATTAAATGTCCTACATTTGTTACATTTACATACATGTATCATGGCCCCTACCTTGAGTTACAGTATGGCACTACCTGTAGTAGTGACTTTGGAATTATGACCCCTACCTATAGCAGTAACTTTAAAGTTATGGTCCCTAACTGTAGCTATGGCCCCTATTTGTAGCAGTGACTGTGCAGTTTTGGTCCCTACTTGTAGCAGTGACTATGGAGTTATGGCCCCTATTTGTAGCAGTGACTGTGGAGTTATGGCCCCTACTTGTAGCAGTGACTATGGAGTTATGGCCTCTATTTGTAGCAGTGACTGTGGAGTTATGGCCCCTACTTGTAGCAGTGACTGTGGAGTTATGGTCCCTAATTGTAGCAGTGACTGTGGAGTTATGGCCCCTACTTGTAGCAGTGATTGTGGAATATGGCCCCTACTTGTAGTAGTGACTATAGAGTTATGGCCCCTATTTGTAGCAGTGACTGTGGAGTTTTGGTCCCCACCTGTAGCAGACTATGGAGTTATGGCCCCCACTGGTAGCAGAAACTATGGCATTACAATCCCTACCTATAACAGTGACTATAGAGTTTAAGCCTGTACTAGTAGCAGAAACTATGGAGTTACGACCCCTACCTGTAGCAGTGACTTTGGAGCTTCCTCATCCTCTTCCTCAATCTCCTCCTCTCCATTCCTAATGGTGGGGATAATATCTGTGTTGGAGGCCTCAATCCCTGCTGCCCCAGTGCAGTAGGACTCCTTAATGAAGCTCTGACAACACTTGTAGCCCCATCTACCATCTTTCCAGAATGAACCCCAAACAGACTGTAATTACAAAAAGTGTATGAAATTTTGGCTTTGAGAAATTTTGTCTTTGAAAATACATATAGTAACATTTTAAAACCTTTGTTTTGTAGATTATTAGAGCCTTTTATGGTACAAAAAATTTATAGAAATTCAAGATATCATAAACAACATTCTTCCACAAACACATGGATGTTTGATGAACCTTTATCAACAATATTAAAGAAATCAGTATTCAAGATCATATTTTTGGTTTAGAAAGTTTAGTTTTATTCAGTAAATAGTCCAACTACTCACTGTATGATTATTTATGTAGACATCTTCTTCATACTTTGATCTGACCACTGGTTTTTCATTCCCTTTAATTACTGAACCATGTCGAGAATACTCCACATAATCCTCCTACAAAACAAGTCACAGTAAAAAATAATGTCACAATCAATATGGGCTGAAGAAGTAAAACTTTATATATAGGAATTTATGCTTATTAACTTGCACATGGAGACATGGTAAACAAAAAGTCCTACTTCATTTCAGTTTTTATCCCATACAGTTTATATATAGAATTGGTGTATCAACATCTAAAAATTCACAAGTAATATTTCAGTGAACCTTTCATTTGTATCATATAAAATATTTTTAATCTATAAAAAAAAACTTACTGTTTGTGCCATTAAGAGCTGTTTGGGAGGGGCTTGTAAATGCTCCTCTCCTCCATATTTGTCCAGAATGCTCTCCTTGGCACTGGATTTAAAGTCCTCTTTCCTCTTCTGCACTTCTTTAGTGAGTAGTTCTAATTTGGTGGGATCTGCTTGTAAGTGCACATCTGTTCCATGTTCATAGGCTTCCCAAGCAAACACTGTATTAGGATAATTTAAACTGGTTAGCATCTACACACAATATCAAGCCTTCCTTCTGAGTACAACGTAAGTGATGCACTTTTATCCTTTTTATCTTAAAAGTATCTTAGAAGGTTTACCTTGTTTTTTGGCAAATTCATGTGCATCTCCAGAGAATCTGACAAAGTTGTCTCCTGCATACTTTTGCCTGTCATTAAATAAAGATAAAGATTTATTATTCATTTTTAATTTAACTCAATATCAAGATATTTATGTATGTCTTCTATCCCTGAGTTTTGGTGGGGAGATAGAAAACAAACAGCAAGTTGGATAAAAACCATGTGAAATTCTTTTTATTACTATGTTTTACAAAACTATCCCATGTTTTACAATTAACTTCAACACTTTCACACAAAATCCATTGTGACGTCACCACTGTTGATATGAAAACGTTATCATATAACCAATATCCACTGTGCAAAGGGGTAAACATGTGATATGTATAGCATGTATATGATTGTGTGTGTGCTGCACCTTGAACAATATTGAATTTCCCACTTAATTCATCTTAACTACTATCAGAAAGTTATTGAGAAAGAAAGTTGTACACTTAATATTACATGTACAATGAAATCTGTCTAATCAGACATGCACTAGAAGACAGATTTTGTGTCGGAATAGTCATTAGACAGGGTGTCAGTTTACACACAGTCTAAAGAACATGGAATATAGTAAAATGGGAATGAGAATAAATGACAGAACTCATGTGAAACAGATTGCATAGATGTCACATTAGACAGTTTTCACTGTAATTGGTATTTGTATGATTATATTAAACAATGTATCAATATTTTACTACATATTCAACTCCACATTTGAAAAATTGTTTCATGAACCTACTCCATCTCTATGTTTCCAGTGTTTTTATATGGATTTTCCCTCATAGAACGAGTTTTGGGATCATAAAAGGCAGAGTTTGGATCAAGGTTGTACAAATACTGCAAGTAAATAGAAAAGATGAATTAGGTACATGTTATGATACACTATTAAGTACATTTTTTTCTTGCTTTGTTTCAGTTTTGTTGAATTAACTTTTCCTTATTTTGCTTAAATTATTTAAAATTCAAATTAATTTTATTGTATGTATTTCAGGTTGTAGTATACAATATATCATATAGTTACAAATATACAAGATTAAAATAAAGCTGACTAACTTTAGCTGTGTCCTCTCTGATTCGGAGATTCCTAACTGTGATACGCTGTTTGGTCTCAAACTTTTGACCAGGCATGTCTACATCATCTGCATATTTATCCTCATCCTCACTGTCACCTTGAGACTAAAGAAAAAAATGTTAAAACTCTGGTAAATAGAAATTTTCTAGAAAGCTAAATGTACTCAAAATAACATTAGTTATGCTAAATACATATTTTAAAGCAGGAAAATATATTAACCATGTTGTAATATGATGTGAGACCAACAAATACTTGTAAACATACAGTATATATAAACTAAAAATACCAAAACAAATATCATTACTTTGATACTTAATAAGTAATTAGAAAGTCATTTGATATTTCTTTAAACCAGTAGTCTGTGATGAGACTGTAGCTCTATCCGTGTGTACTACCACCAAAGAAAGATGCATCTTAATATAATCTACTTGTGTAAAGTCTGATCAGACCAAAACTTAGGAGGAGTAATGTCTCAAAAGAATTCAAATTATTTTTTTTATTTTAAGTAACCATGGCAACAGCTTTTGTCAAAATCAAAAACCTATATATAGAATTGTGTACCTTAGTATTTATAGACTACTGGTGTACCAAGTCTTAATGAAATTGAACCAAAACTGTACAGTGAGTAGCATTTTGAAGAATTGTTTACAGACAGACAGATGATGGACTAATGCTAATGCATAATCTTGCGGTCTCTGACCAGTAGAGCTAAAAATAGACATAACTAGATTTTTCATATTTTGTGAAAATTAAAAAGGTGCTTTACTGTTTCAGCAGATTCTTTTCCTTCCAAAAAGTTTGCCTCTTTCAGCATTCTCTTTGCCTTAAGAAAAAAAAACAACAGATATTACAGTCCACTGCATACAATTTACATAATGTTTTATCTTCAGAAAGTAATTACATTCAACAATTTATGGGGAAATTACTGAAAATTTCTTTCTCTAATTACAGCTGCTAACTTTAGAAACAGGCCAGTTTAAAATACAAGTCTTTGAAGATTATGACACAGTTCATGTACTTAAAGTATGGTAAAAAGATACTTGTATAATTTTTTTGTATGCATAATAATAAAACCTAATTACACCTGTTTAACTGATCACATGTGTTTATTCCTATTTATCCCTACACACATATATACACACACCTCTTCCAAGCGGCTGTATTCCTCCCTGACTTTTCTCTGGTGATCTTCCACATCTACGCCAGCTGCATGATCACGCTTACCCTCATAATCAAAGTTTAGGGTAGGAGTAATGTACTCGTCAGGGGCTATATTGTCACCTGTGAATTTGGCACCAATCCTCCTTGGCCTCTGATAATGAAAAATTAAAACATTCTTAGTTCTTCGTTTTTTTTTTTTAAACAAATTCTTGCACATCTACATGTATTTTTGTATATCAATCATTTCAAATCCTTATTTTCAGCATAGAAAGACAAAAAATCTGTACCCTGATAAACAAATTTCAAAATGAACTGTAACCCAAGACAAAGCATGGAAAAGGAATGGTTTCCACCAAGTTATTTGTGATATGCTGCAACTAAAACTGGATTCAATATTGTGTTTACCTAAGGATTCCATATAGTGTTTATCAAATTCAAAGAAAATGTTTAAGCACTGGTGAATTGTGAATCACAAGTAATTTTAGATTTATTTTTTTTTCAAAATCATATTTTGTATCAGTGGATTACGACAATTGTAACATTTTTTTTTTTGAACTTCCAATAACATCATTGTACTCTATATAAGATATTCTAGTGCAATGCATACATGCCAACTTTTGAAAATTCCCATGGGGGATTTTGCACGTGACGACAATTTTCAAAGCTTTAAATTTGCGACATTTTGTCGTGAAAATAAATGTTTATCCCTTTTTTTTTAATTTATAAGATCAATATCACTTGTTAATACAATTTCAGAATAAATAATACAAACAATTTTTTTCCTTCCAAAATTCAAATATCTTTTGCTTAAATAGGTACCTCTCTCACTAAAGAAGTGATATCTGTTTAGTTTAACAACATTATGTTTGAAAAAAGACACATAATTTGGTGAAAATGTTCAACTTTCAGTTCAATAGATTTTTCTGCAAAGTTTTAGAAATATATTAGGTTTTGTTACTGTACAGTTTCTGGAAAACATTTGCAAAATTCTATATTTACATTTTACACAATTAGAATTTCTTAATTGGACATTAAATTGAAAAAAAGAAATATTGAAGAATTGCAATGCATTGTGTGTGAGGGTGTGTCTGTGTGTGTGTGTGAGAGAGAGAGAGATAAGAAAATTTGTTAGTGATATGTACTTTAAACAGAAGTGTCATTTTATTCCTTATTAATGAGTAGACATCATGATGATTAATTTTATCACACACACAAAACAATTTGAAGAAATAAATTTACTCTTGAGGTCATAAATTATTTAAAACAAGGATACCCCCTATCCCAAACAAAAACTAAAATTGTTTTAATCATCATGAACGTTTGCGTAATCTTGGCAGTGTCTCGTGGGTATTCCCTTGTCAAATTACATGGGGGGGGGGGGGGGAGAAATTCAGTGTACTTGAGGTATAAGACTTTGTTGTTTCATCTAAATTATTTACATCTTATTTTAACCAGTAAACTTTACAATATTTTTATTACAAGCAGATAAAATCAGCATCTATGCTTTGTTGTTTTCTACTTTCGTTTTTAAAAAACAATCAACATGGATTAATTCCGATTTTGTTGTTAGTTTATCATATCACTGTATTTATTTTTTGTTTTTATTAAAATGATATTTAATTAACCCCTAAATCTATGTGCACCCCTTCTGACTGAAAAGTTAAATCCCCTAACCGCTCCAGGCTATGTTACCGGTACCTGGACAGCTGTGTGCGTTCAAGCGAGAAGTGATTTCCTGTGGCTAATTAACACCCCTGCATGAGTTAAATAAACAAAGAGACTAATCTGTGTGCATTGAATAAACAAGTCTGATATTATAATCCCGATTGACAAAATATTTCGGTAGGGAAACTCTGAAAATCAGGAATTTTAGACTGAATTTTTTCAAATCGGGATTTTAGGGCATTTTTGCTTTCCCGATCGGGAGAGCGGGATCAAAGGGTAAAATCGGGAGGATCCCGCCTAAATCGGGAAAGTTGGCATGTATGGCAATGTTATGTTAAGGGTCTGTGCAATATGCTATGTACATGTAGATGATTGTGTGTATAAGAAATTTCTAAAGCTTTATTCTCATTACCTCTAAGCAGTCCTTTTTCTTATGAGTCATTGCTCCACAGTTTTCACAAGCTCCTTTTCTAAATTTTGTCACAACTGGACCCTATATTTAAAGCATAATGACTATTCAGACAGAATATCAACATTATTAAGAAATGTTTTTTCCATTTTATCAAAATGATATTTGAACATCTAATTTAAAAAAAAAATCACTGTAATGTAAGAATGGACATCAGTCTTACCTCCTTGAGACCTTTTTTGTACCATGTATTTCTATCATCATAATTTTTCTTTTGGTCTTCCTGTATTCTTTGATGTTTTAGTGTGGCCTGCGTAGCTTGATAGTACCATGGTGCCTGCATAATATACTGGGGAATGTGGGGGTTGATTTCTCTAAAGAAAACAAATACAATGCTTAATACAATCTATATAAATCAAAAGAATGATATATTAAAAATAATAAAAGATGCAAAGACTGAACTACTCGCTTTACAATTATTCATAGAAAATCATAAGGATTCATGTTCTTACTTCTTACCAAATATTTCGAAATTTTTGGGGTTAATTTGTGTTTGATATATTTGGTAAACATATTTTAGAACTAGTTCATATGTTGATAAATCATTGAATGTTTTCGTGATATTTTTGATAACGCAGATGTTTCTGATACTGACTTCCCCTCCTCATCTGTCATGGCTGGTGCTGTTCCAGCTTTTCTCATCTCCTCCAACTCTTTCTGTTTCCTCCAGTCCTCGCGGGACTTCTTTTTTGGTTCATCCTGCTCCTCCGATTTGGCCTTTTTGGCCATCACCGATGGTGGTAAGTTGATTGAAAATGACATGATTATCTGTAGTGTCCTTCAAATCTGTCAATGAAAGTTAGAAGTAGAACTAAAATGCCAATAATGTAAATTCTTCCAAGTCAATTTTCATTGAATCAGAGAAAGACTATGAAACAAGGACATCTCAAAACAACGCTAGTACCGGTTCGAACACTACTTCAAAGAAAACAATTGTAGTGTCCGTGGATAGACAACTGGTTTAGGCGTATCACATACGTAAATTGTTGCAGTAATAATTTCACAAATATATGATACTTTTACATTAATCTGATGTAATCAACCTTGCGTACCAAGATCCAAATGTTGTGACAATGAGATTTCCTAATTCATATCCATAAAACAATCTTTCCAAATCCAACTATATCATATTCAAGGTATTCGTTCAGATTCGCAAGGCTAAGCTTCGTGTTTTCATTTTTCAGGGCCGCTTAGAACTTCAGCGACTTATTTCCGCTGAAAAAAATATGTAAACGAAAAAATTATTCTAACTTTGAAAAGAAAATAAAAATCACAATCTTGTTGAACAAGAATCAAAATATAGGAAAATGTTTACATTTTACAGGATTTTCTATTCAAATATTTTGTGTGCGTTTAGGCTTATTTGGTATTCGTTTTGTCTAAAACTAAATTAACATTCTGAAATTTCGCTGCATTGTTTATTGGTTACAGATCGGAGAAAAAGGTGTAAAATTGCAGAAAAGTCATTAGTGTGTTGAATTCTCTATTTTGTTTTTAATCAAAGGTACGTTAATATGATAAAATAATATATCTTTTGTAAATGTTAGCGATGCTAAATTTATATTTATTGGTTCTATGACATATTTCCTCCAAAATTTACATGCTTCGACAGGTTCTCAAATATGACAACATTGATCTAAAATTAGCAGAAATCGGGGTTTTTCTTTTATTTTCCTAATTAATCATGATAAATCATCTGTATCACTTTGTACTTGATAAGTAATATATCTGACTTGTTTAACAGGCATTGCAAAATGGATGAAGTGGACTCGCCTTTTCTCAAGAAGAAGAGATCACATCAAAAACAATCAGACACCATGTTCCAGTCAGAACTACAAAGAAAACTTCAGCAGCGCAGACAAGAAGGTTTAACATATGGCCTGACAAGTGAAGAGAGTGACAGCATTGTTGATGATGATGATGGTGACAGTGATGAAGGTAATGATCTGTAGTATGAAAGGCATTGTCTCAAGCCACGGTCCGGAGTCCGCATATAGCTCTTTTCTACCCGTTGCTGCTTAATCACAAAAAGTGTCATAATCTTGAATATTTACGCCTCTGTATTATGACGTCATGTTCAGCCAATGACAATTTTTGTTTCCATCACAATTGACATATCAACAGTATACAAGAAATGTTTCATATACTGTGATTGGGTATTGAAAGGTTGTGTCAAAGTTCATTATCTGACTATGCTTTACTCGCATTGGTCAATATTTTAATGAGCTACGAAATATTCTCTTCTCATTCAACCACCGCCAGAATGGGAGAGGATCGTACATTTTGGTCGTGGTTTGTGATGATGTATGAAAGGAGGAATGAGTAAAGAAAATATATGGCTGGACCGAGAATTGAACTGGGAACCCCTGTATTATTAGACAGGTGCTCTACCACTGAGCTACTAAAGCTGATATCGAGGGTCCATATAGCCCAATCTTTTACCGGGTACTCTCCTTCCTTCTTAAACAGTCTTTGACCTTGAAGATGCAAGTTCTGGACTTAATAATTTACATATAATCTGAACAAGGCCCCTCACACTGGCCATCAAATGTAATGTATGGCTGGACTGGGAATCAAACCCCAGACCCCTGTATTACTAGTCAGTGCTCTACCACTGAGGTACCCAGACCAATATCTAGGGTTCATATGTAATAGATATATTACATGTACTTACATGTAATACCTCTGTTGTGATTAGGGCTATATGGACCCTGAATATGGGCCTGGGTAGCTCAATGGATAGAACATCTGACTAGTAATGCAGGGGCCAGGGTTCAATTCCTGGTCCAGCCATAAATTTTCTCCCCTTCCTAGCTGTTACACCTCTCTAGCTGGAAAAAGGAGACAATCCATATTTCAACTGTCTAGCTGAAAAGCGACCAACAGTGCATATTCCCAAAATCTTAATTTAAAATTCATTATGTAGCCTTGTTTATCAAGGGAGTTTTAGCACATTTGTATAATGAAAATATATACTGTGGAACCATTAAAATTTGTGGTGGCCAATTCTCGTGGATTGCTTAAATTTTACAGGCTCCTTGGGTTGTAATTTTGTGTATTCTCGTATATCTACAAGAGGAAATATGACTTTGTAACCCTAGTTTATTAATTCACGAATTCCATGTAAATTGAGCCACAATGAAATCTAATGATTCCACAGTATTGTACTTGGGAATCACATATGGCTTAGCATTTCCTACTTGCTCCTTATTTTTAATGCTTCATTATAAAGGCATAAGAAGTTAAACTTTTGATGGGAATTCATGTTGATAATTTATTGTGTTGTGAAATGTCATTAAAAATTATGAAATTAAGGAGGTAATTAATAGAAATTAGCATTGAAATTAGTTTAAATGATCATGATTTCCCCAGTGTGACGTCATATTGCACCTTCCATACATACAGGTTATGATCAATATTAGGTTAGCTTCATTTTGGCAGAATATAAATAATAATTGTGGAATTTTTTTCTTATTTACAAGAAAAGTTTTTTTTGCTAGGGATGGCTCAAATGGTCATACAATTTATAGTACACAGTATTGCTAGCGTAATGCAAAATTTCTCATAATTTAGGACTAAAGTTCTGGGTATGGAATATGAATGCAGAATCTAAATAAATTTGTAAATTAAAAAACTACCAGGGTGCATTTCTAGAGAGGAATTTCAGAAACACATGTTTTTGTATAACAGTTTTGTATTATACATTTGAATATTATGAGTTTTACCAGATATTGGTGGTATTCCTGTAATACATGTACCTTTCAATTACATTTTGCAGAAATCCTTGCACAGCATAGAAGAAATCTGTCCAACCAAAAGCAATCAAACCGACCAACCTCTGCCAAGAGAAGAACACCCACCTTTCAAGACACAAATGATTTAAGTTTGGGAGATACTATTAGGCCAGGACAAAGTGGAAATAAATTTATGAAACAGCGTGGACAGCAAGGCCAGAAAGAGGGCATTCCCTCCCTCAACATGGGAGGAAAAGGGAGAACTTCTCCTGGGATGCCATCTTTGACATCCCCAAAACTTTCTCCAAAAGATAGCAAAAGTCTGACAGATGCATTAGGAGGAAAAAGGTCTCCCAGTCCCAAGTATGGAACCCAGTCTATGTCTCAGGAGGATATTATTTTTGGCAGGAAGACACCAACTAATGATCCAAGGCAAATAAACTTTGTAAACTGAATGGAATCAAAATTGTGCTTTTACATTTTATGGAGATTTAAAAAAAACATTGCCTTACATTCAATTATTTAATGGTCAATGGAAAAAAAATGAAATTTATAAGATTTGTTTATTTCTTTGTCTCCTCAGGCGTCAGAGTCCAACAGATAACAAACCATGGCAACCACCAAACTTTCGCAAAAGTCCAGGTGCAGAGCAGCAAGAAAACCGAGCACCCTCCCCCGGTGAGTTTGGACTTTATGATCTTATATAAATATGTTTATGATCTAGTCTATCCCAGATCTGAAGTTCTTAAAAAAATTCATAGTAAGATGGCTCTTGCCTTAGATTAACCTTTTGAATCTAGGAATTGTCATTTAAATCTTGTCCATTGTATATGTACATATACCATATATACTTGCCTTCAAGTTGGATTACATGTATTGGCAGTTAAATTTTGGACAAAAATTCAATATGTCAGACTTGTAAGCAAGTCCTAGAAACATCGGCATTTTTCTGAAAGAGGAAATATAGTAATTTTGTAAAAACACCAACAATAATCCTTCAAACAGATCGGATATTAATCTTAAGATTCTTAAATGCATGCAGGAAAAGAAGATTTAAGGTTATCCATATGCATAAAATACAAGTGCTTACAAATTTTAATGATCTAATTTTTGTTTAAATCGTTTTAAATTAAAGATCAAATATTGATGTCATACCCAAGAACAATTTTGAAAAGACAGATATTAAATACAATAGAATATTGATTTGCAATTGGCAACAGATTCCAGCAAAAAACTGTTTCAACTTATAAGTGGGTCAAAGCCAAATTCCTCAAAAATAATCTGAAAAAAATACAACCAACTTATAGGCGAGTATATATGGTATCTTTATTTCATAATTTTCATCCTGTGTAATTTTTTCCCATAGATTTGTTTTAAAAAACAAAACATGAATTTTTTAAATGCTTTTTGGGCATATAATACATGAGTTATATCAGAATTAAGATGCTGTTGCATGTGAAATGTTCAACTAATTATTTCTAAATATTGCAGGCTTACAAGGAAGAAGAACTCCATCTCAGGAACCTTTTCTTCAAAGCATTGATGAAAATGCAGGGACACCCAGGAAAAACCGGTTCCCTAGTCCTACTGACCGTAGTCCTAAGGCTGGCCGAACCAGTCCTAAAGGGGGCCTCACTAGTCCAAAAGATCGGTTCTCAAAGTCAGACAGGAAATCTCCAAAGTATGAATTGTTAAATATCTTATACAGGACATAAGTATTTAGATAGGAGGCTCCAGTCAGAATTAAGAAATGTATGATTTCCTTTTTATTATATTGGTCAGTCACCATAATGACAATATGCATCCAATTTTATTTTAACTAGGAGCCTCTCCATAGATGATTCACCACGACTGGATGAAGCTCCCAAACCCAGACCAAGACACAAGACAGACATATTTGGAAAAACAGATCATGTGGATGTGGATTTGGAGACAGATTCTCCATCTGTCAGCCGATTCCACAGAGCTGCTCCAGGTGGCAGAAAAACTCCTACACAGGTAGGCTTCATCAAGGAGTTCAAATGGAATAGATATATTTCAGTGACAAAAGTTCCTCCATACTGTGTAGCCTTATATACATGTAGGAATACAGTTGAACTTCAAAATCACAAAAACCATGAATGTCATGAAGTGAGTTTGAAGTCCCAACCACTTTTTCTGTAAGTATTTAAACCCCAAAATCCCAAACCTGCAGATTTCTAGACTGAAGTAGTTTATGGTCCCATTGAGTTTGAGATAATGATGTTTGACTGTATATAGAGGGGCCATAAATGTCCTACTGTATTAATGGAAGCATATGTATCTTCATGTTTATGTTATTGTAATACATATCACAAAGCATCCCTTTTGACTAAGAGTAGCTCTAAATGTAAAAACAAAAAACAGTTAATGTTAGGTACATATGATATAAATACATGTACATGTACTACCAATACAGAGTGATGCACACATCTATTTGTGAACACCCAATATGCTTGTGAAATTTAAAGTAAAAAATTGACATTTTGATTTCAGAGTGGAAGAAAAACTCCAACAAACTTAGATGGCAGGAAGACTCCTACAGGATTGGATGGCAGAAAAACTCCTACAGGATTAGATGGCAGAAAAACCCCTACAGATAAAACATCCTACAGGAAATCTGACAGAGAGAAAGATACAAAAAAGGCCCCACTGAAAAAAGAGGCATCACTTCTAGATTTTCTCAATGAGGATGTGGATTCCTCAAAAACAAAAAAGAGAGAGGAACCCAAGCCAAGGCTACTTCGGGGTTCACAGGAGGAACCACAGGAGAGGAAAGATAGTATCAGGGATGATATTCTGGGGGATAAAATCAACAGAGCCAAACAGAGGCAGGCTAAGTCAGGCAGTGGAGACATTGGTAGTGGAGACACCAGGTCAGTCGCAAAAAAGCGAACGGACAATGAGAAAGAGATACCGGACGATAGTTCACTTTGTGAAGAGTTTGACAAGGATCCTTTAGGAAGGTCATTTGCTGAACCGGAAAAACAAGCTAAGTATGTTAACTTTTCAGCAATTTTATTTTTAGTGGAATTATTATTATTATTTTTTTTTTTTTTTTTTGAAATATATATTCTAAATTTTTTTCATCAAAGAATGACAACTTTTAATGTCAAAATTAATGACAAAATTTAATGACAAAGTCCTCTCAGAATAGATCTCTTAAGTACCATATTAGGATGGAATTTGAGTATTCATGCACCAATAAATTTAAAGTCTCTATTAAATAAATCACTGAATGACAATAAATAACATTTTCATTTTTTAATGTTCATACGTTGATAAATTAACAGCTGCATTCCTACGAAGTATTGGTGATCTGTTTTATGTCTTTAAATTAAAATTTCTTTTGTAGGCCAGGCAAGGGCCCAACAGAGAGTAAAAAATCAGATGACATCATAAACAAAGTAGCTCAGGAACAAAACAAACCATCTTCTGGTACAATGAAGTCCACAGACACTAGCAAGTCTTTCAAAAAGTAAGTTTTAAACTGGTGAAAATATATTTGTATCCATTTACACAAAGTCAACTTAGAGCAGCTTACATGTGCAAAAAAAACTGTTTCAACAATACTGAATGCCGGTATGTAGTTTGTGTTAGGAAAGTTCAGTAATTAAAAACAAAACAATAAAAAATAGAACTACATCTATTACCAACTTGTTTCTTTTTAACATGATCATAGCAATAAATCCTAGAAAATTGCAGCACTTTTTGGAATTCTGTTAAAATTTTCTTTACAGAATTGATAAGGAACACCGTCCTAAACCCCGCTACACAATCCCTGGGACCCCCACTAGTCAAGGTACCCTGTCAGAAATGTCCTTCAATGACACCATGTCTATACGTCAGGCTGTGTATGAGGAATGGAGGAGAGAGAAGATGAAATCAGCGAGAAAGGAGAAAAAAGAGGAAGAAAAGAAAAAACAGGAGGAAGAGAAAAAGAAGGAGGAGGTAAGCTTATTATTCATCAGTATTGTGGATTTAGGTGTCTGGTTGTGATGTTAATGGACATTTACTACTTTTCTGTCTATTCTGATATCAAATGATTTAATAGTGATGATACACATTTACATGTATGTTTTAAGACACATACTCTCAACAGTCCTGATTTGTTAGTCACATGCAACTTGATTTACAGTGATTTTGTGGAAATTTTTGGAGGGGCATATGATATGAATTAACAAAATTCATAGACCCTAGTAATTTTAGTCACTTCATTTGAGAGGTTTCTTTTTTATACCATACTTGTTAATATTTGTTGTGTATTGGTTTCCTTAAATATCATATTTCTGAGTTGATGGTATTGATAACAATTAAATTGCAATATCAGAATTCAGGTAATGTATACTAAATAAAATTTTTGATGAATGTATCTTGCGAGATTATGCCTGTAAAGAAATTTCATATAAAATGTCAAGTATCCTGTGATTGCCCGAGATGTTAATATGACTCCTTTTGTTAATTTATATAAATTCATTGCTCATCACTTTTTTTTTTTTTTTTTGTAGGAGAAAAAAGAAAAGAAATTGGAAAATGATAGCTCCTACAAGACTTGGAAAGAATCAAAAGAAGATACATTTGTTAAAAAGATCAAAGAAGAAAGAAGGAAAGAAAGAGAGAAGAAGGAAAAGGAAGAGAAAGAAAAAGAACAAAAGATCAAAGAAGCAGAAAAGGTAATTTGGTATAATTAAGAAAATTTGTTACAAAATTGTAATACATGTAAATGGCTTTTGTGGTATTCACATACAGACATAGTTGATAAGTATTGAAATGTGAAATTTCATGGTTATGGATTTTTTTTGTGATAACAAAGCCTACAATCACAAATCAATTCAGTAATTTTTGGGGGGTACGTGTTGTTTACGATATTCATTGTATAGCAAAAAGCTAGCAAAAGCCAAAATTGCTTGAAGTTTATCTAACTCATTATATCCAGTAAAGGCAGTTGAATATGTACCTGAGTATGTAATATTAGTTTATCACTCACTGTCTATATTGATTAATTTTTAGATTTAATTACTTTATTTTATTATGGTAAAAAGTGTGGTTTTTGCTAGGATAAGAGATGACAAGTTTAGAGATCATAAAGCATATTCACACAAATATGTTCATTTTAGTTATCAAAGAGAAAAAGTGTACATGTACTTGATTTAGAGGGGTCAAACTGGATTTCATCTGAAAAGTGATGCTGATCAATTACCTTTGACATGTTCTGCAAAAAGAAAATCTTCAGTGTATATAAATATTACATATTCAATAAAAATTAAATCAGATCATGTTGTAAATAAATATTCTTATTTAGACATTCAAAATATGGAAAGAAGAAAAGGATGAAGAAATAAAAGAAAAGTTGAGAAAGAAAAAAGAGGAGGAGAGAGAGAAAGAATATGAAAAGGAGGAAGCAAAGAAGAACAAAGAAAAGGAGAATGTTACTGCACTAAGGGGATGGTATGTTTATAATTTTTTTTTTAAGGTTCAACAAATAATACAAATTCATGGATCAACGAATCACAAAATTTCTACAGTAAATGCGTCTGGGAAAAAACTCTTTGTAACTGTGATTCCTAATGGCAGATAAGGTCCTTTGATTATGTGATAAATGATTACATGCACTAGTATGTTAATTACTGTAGCTATTGTTATAATGGGATTACTGTACCTCTGTATAATCACCTATGACGTCAAATAAAAATTCTACACCCTCACAGCAAAGTTGTGGTGTCGGGAGGAGGAGGAGGTTTAACTGGAATCATGGCTCCATTTGTCTGTTCATACATCCGTATAGCTGAAGATGCAAGATTGATTTCAATTTGTAGATCACTTCCTAGCTTATCTCACGGAGGTATTCAAACCAAACTTGCAGATTTGGTGCATCTGTGGATACATGTGCTTTATGTGATGCATCTCCAAATATTTCTTGAAATTTTTGAGAAGATATGATGACTTTGTTTTGTATTCAGGAACAACAAGAAAGACCAAGTATTGAAAGAAAAGGCCAGGGAGGAGAAAAAGAAGAATATGGCCACTCTAAAGGAACAGGAACAGCTGAAAAAGGAGCAGGAAAAAGAGGCCGAAAAGCTGTATGATCAATGGCTTAGAAGAAAGGTAAGACTCTAAAAGAAACAGATCTAATGAAGAACAAATTATCACGTTATTTTATGATACAAGGTGTTTCATAATACCTGTCCCCATCACAATTGCCTGTAAAAGCTTTAATTTTGATCACATTTTAAGAAAAATAAAACATTATTCTAAAGAAGCAAGTTTAAAAAATATGGAATTTTTTAAATGTTACAATGTCATGTATGGCATCATAATAATTAAACTCTGAAATTTCTATGTCTCAATGATAAGAACAAAGTTTTAAAGTTGTGCATCTGTACCATGAATGTCATTCACCAATTAACTGTTGTCTGGATGATGCAAAGAAGTATCCAATTCAAAGACAAAAAAAAAAAAAATCACCAAAAATACTGTGTACATCTAGTGTCTTGTGAAAACAATGAAAAGATTTGTGCTGCAGTGATCAGAATTTCAGACATAATGTAAAACTGACTTTTTTTGAAGATGGCTTTATCAAAAACATTGTAAAAGAAAATAATGAAGGCATACACCAGAAAAAAATGTTAAATTAAATTTTTTCGTAGTTTATTAAAACCTTCTAAATAAATTTATTTGTCACAGATGTACCTGTATTTTTATACCAGTTTATGATAGGGGCACATATTATGAAACACCCTGTAGAAGCATGCAGTTTCTCAAGTTCCAATTTCGAAAGGACATGTCAACGTTTTGTAATATAAGTTCACATTTTAACCATAATTGGTTTTCCTTTAAGCTTTTCATTCATCAGAAATTTAAGTTGTCTCTCTCTAGGGAAGAGACGACAAATGTGCCATTCAGTCAGTCAGACCAACTTTAAAATAATGTGTTTGCCCTCTTCTGAAGATCGGGATAAAAAAAATTCGTCAGTAGGAAGGTTGACAATTTTTTTCCCAGGAATTTTCAACATCAATGCTGAATTTTCAAAATCTATTTTCCAGAATGCTTAAAAAAAATTATTATTTCCTGGAGGTTAGGAAAAGTTTTCATTCGGGCCATTTTTAGTCAGTCAGTAGAGGGCAACCAAACAATTTTTTAAAGATAACCTCATGGCAAATATTTTCATACATGTGAAATGTTCAGGAGGCAGATTCTTAAAAAATAAATTATCAGGTTTATTTGTCATTTAGAGTTGAAGTGCAAACAAGTTCTTACATATCTAAACATTTATTTACAGGATGAAACTAAGAGAAAGGAGAAGAGTCGGAGATATGGATCAACAGAAAGTATAGAATTCCGTCCAGCTTGGAGTCCTGCCAGTAAAACAATACCATTCGGAAGGTAGAATCAGCCCATGTGATTAAGTCCTCAATTGTACTGTACATACACCTGTATGTTAACACCAGCTGAAGGGACGGACTGTTTGTCTAGAGATTCTGTTGATTAAAAATGTAGTGAGACATATCCAGGAAATACCCACCAAGATTAACATTTGTAGCAAGTAGATATGATTGGAGCTGGAACTTTTACTTCACATTTGCTCAACCATAGACTCATTTCCAAACCTTTAGATGTTCTCCGTCCATCTTTGGTTGTTTGCAATGATTATTCTGGAATCATTTATAATTAAACAATTAGTTTGAAATCATACTTTAAATTTGGTCATCTTAAGACTAGAGCATTACCAAACAAGTTTATATTCTCCGTCCATATTTGTTGGTAAAACTTGTTCTGTTTGCCATATCTTTTATGTGCTTTATCTGTACAATTTTGTTGTCCATAAATTTTTGTTTTTATTTATTTGCATTCTTGATGCAAGAGTTGTGAATTTTAGGTCTTTTATTTTTTTAGTTTGCTAAGACATTTTGTTTTAGGGCTTAAATTCAAGTTATTGCGTAACAAAAAGTGATATATGTACATGTATTGAGTCATTGTTTTTATTTAAATTTGAGTAAGGAGGAAGTCTGTTAACTTTTATTAGAGTATAAATGTATACCCATATTCATAAGTGAATTGTTTGGGAAATATATATATTTCATTGATGGAAAAAGAATCACTTTTCCATTACCAATACATTCTCTCTAAGTGGGGTCATTGTTATAATGTGTATTTACAATAAAGATAAAACAAAACTTTGTCCTTATACTTTTTGCCCATGAGATAGGAGGATTTTATTTTCTCAATTTTCAGAATCATTAATGGTCACCTTAGTATAATACAGCACTGAAGCAAAATAAATCAAGAGATGAAGATATGATGTCCCAAAGCAAGAGAAATAGAATAATCTGGTGTCAACAAAATTGTTACAATGTGGTCTAGTTCTCAGTAATAAATCATAAAGTGTTTCAAAATCTTCTTCTCTGCTCCTGGGTATTATTTAAACAAACTAAGTGCATGGTTATGATAAGCAAGAATGCCTCTTCCAAAATTTTGAAATTAATGGCCCTGGGGTTCGGGGTTTTGGTGAAAGTGAGGCTCTATTGATTATATTGTGAAAAAGCATAATCTCTTTGAAAATATTCTTTTCTGCTCCTGGTTATAAAGCAAAGAAACTAAGTGTATAGTTATGATGAGCAAGGGTGCCTCTTCCAGAATTGTGAGTTGCATGGCCGCTGGGTCAGATGTTCTCTCTGAATGGTACCTCTTCCAGATTTGTGAAATTTGTGATCCTGGGTCATGTGTTCTGGTGTTAGGATTGGACTGTGTTGAATATGTAGTGAAAATGCATTATTTCTTTGAAAATATTCTTTTGTCAAGTGTTCTGGCCCTGGCCTGGGCTCTATAAGTTTGTATTCTACTGAGAAAAGTTATTCCCCTTTGCCATTCATCTTTGATAATTAATCACTGTAAATAATGTATTTGAAAGGTTAGTACTAGAATAAGAGAATATTTATTGTATTGTACAAAAAGTACTTTCGTAGTTTTAATGATCAGGTAGACTTGTAAATAATAGATAAATAAAAATGAGACAGAAATAATAACTTATCTTATTAAATGCTCTTCAAAGACCAAGAGAGGCCAATGTGAGAGGTAATAATATGGGGTTAAAAATAGTATTGAATATTTTATTAATAGTCCGCGTGGTAATAGTGATAAATGGGGACAGATTGGAACTTACTTTATGAGTTGTTACTGAATACTAGAATAATTATTTCGTTGATCCTGATCATCCTATTTCTCTTGCTTTTGGGCGACAAAGCTTCGTTTATCAGTTTATTTTATACTCTTTGCATCCTCTAAATTATTGTATTATACTCAGGTAACCGTTTTATATAGCAAAGGGGAATAACTTCTCTCAGTAGCGCGTACAAATTTCCCTACAATATCAACAGAGCTCTGCCCAGCACACCAGAAAACACTTGACCAAGTGGTCAAGAATTTCACAAATCTGGTAAAAAAAAAAAAAAAATTCTCATTATAACCGAGATTTTAAAGAATTTATGTATTTTTACTATAAAATCAATAGAGCCCCCACCCTAACACCAGAACCCCTGACCTTGGGCCATGAATTTCACAATTTTGGAAGAGGCATCCTTGCTTATCATAACCATGCACTTAGGTTATCTGCTAAATACCCAGGAGCAGAGAAGATTTTCAATAAAATAAAATAGAAATAATGCATTTTCATTATATTATCAGTACCCCCCCCCTCCCAGACCAGAACCCTGCCCCTGAGGCCATGAGCGACAAACATCGCACATAGACAGAGTCAGCAATAAGTTACCCAAGTGATTCAAGTGACCAAAAAAAATGTTCAATATATTAAAGCTCTCCAAAAATGTACAGGTGAAAGTAAAAAATCGTCAACAAATTAAAAATCGTTTGATTAATATTTAAGGTAGGTCGCGGGTTTGCTTTTGTTCCTAACATGTTTCCGCAATAAGTGAAATGCTGAATAAAGTTACAGTGTGCATCTATGTCACCTTTTAGATCTTGTATATTCCAAATATAAAGATACTTATCTGTAAACGCGATTACGTTCAATATATGACGTCATAAACATAAACATAAACATAAATAACGCCATAAACGCAACATTATGGCGATATGAAAGCAAACTTTAAAATTATTTAGCAAAACAACTAGCGAGAAGACATATTACTGATTTTTTTTACCTCAATGGTTGTAATTTGACCTCATCTTGATATTTTGAAATTTCTGAGTAATTCGTCTACGTCTTTAAAAAGTTATCCGATCTTTTCTAAAGAAACTATTTCGGTAAAATTATATTTCAAAAACGTCATTTTCCTATATATTACTATAGTAAAGCGTAAAAATGGTACCGAAAACTATACCGCGTTTACAGTAATATAGCATTAAAACCACATAGGCAAATTTAATAAAAATTTCAGATAATATGCCGCAAATTCTAAGGAACATTATATCAAATTTTCAGGATATGTTTTCTCGTAAGAATTTTTATGCAGTAAACCCGCGACCTACCTTAAAACTCGTTCTAGAGCATAGTTTGATTTCGTAAACTCTCGCTGAACACTATAATTTATTACACAATATCTTTCAGTTTCTGGATTTAGGGAGAGGGTTAAAATTGGCTCTGTCTGTTAACCAATCTCATGCACTTTTGTGAATAAACTATTGTTTGAAGCAAGATTTATATAGAGCCTTTGTGAGTCTTAAAAGTTTTCGTTTTTTTCCCTTTGTTAACTTTCTGAAACACTCCAATACATGTATGTTTAAGAGAGAGAGAGAGAGAGAGAGAAATCGTTATGAAACAAAAACAAAAAAACAACCAAAAAAAAACAACAACAAAAAAATACAATGTGCAACACAGAAAGTTAAATTGCCCATCTTTGAAATTACGGTAAATGTGACTATTATATCGTTAAGGAAGCTCTAAACACTACTCACAGAAGAGTTCTATTTCATTAATTTTTAAATAGAAAAAACAGAAATCGGTATTTTGATATACTGAACACAATTCTCGATGATAGTTTTGTTCTTAATATTATATTAGATCTGTCCAAGATAAAGTAATTGTATACATTATTTGCATTTATTTTCCCATTGCAAATATAAGCAAAATGATTTTTTGTTCATTAAAGTAAAAAAAAAAAAAATTAAGTTTAAAGAGAATGATTTGAACGACTTCCATTGGTGGGCCCATGAAGGGAGATATTCAGGGGTTAGGTATAAATGTTTTGTTGGTCTCTTCGATTCAACTGATTTCAATTGCATGATTCAATTGATAGTTTTGATTATTTTACAAAGCCCTTAATTGTTACAGGATTTTATAGGCATCAGTTCTCTCCATTAGAGAGACAGAGCAACAATTAAAAAAAGATCAACATTTGAATTACGGGTGTATTAAATTGAGGATATCATAAATTAATTAGTCTCTAAAAAAATGAATTAATTGAATTATTGATATCATTAATTCAGTGGAAGAGCTTTGAATTAATACCATTATTTCATTGAAAGAGAACAATAATTCACATTATTGTGCGCATAAAATGAATTGATGCGCGCATTAAACAATTGATGAGAGTAATTGATTTGATGCGTGCATTGATTGAATTATTGCTCTCTTCAATTGAATTATTGCACGCATCAATTCAATTGTGGATATCATAAATTCGTTTGAAGAGAGCAAAAATTCATTCAATTATATCTTCAACTGAAACGTTGCGTGTATATTTTATAAATTAATGATATCTTCAAGTATTTTTGTTTAAGTTCTATATACATGTAGTTTGGCATCTACAGAACTGAACTAATTACGAAAATAAACTTACTGAACAGATAAAGTTACATGTGTAACGAATGTTAAGATTTTCCATTCAATGAAATTGAAATCAAAACAGATCTATATATCCGGTTATATACTCATTAATTTTAGACATAATTCCCATTTATTACTTTCAGAATGTGAGAGCGGAATGATGCCTAGTATATGACCTCGACCTGTCCCTATATACTTCTTAGAAAATTACATTTTTAAAATTTCTCATGATAAATCCTTTTCTACTCATGAAGGTTTTAAATTAATACCAGAGTATCAATTTTTACATGATGAATAATTAAGTCTATAAGGGATGGAATACCTTAATTATGGTCACAGGTACTTTTACCCTCACCCCTCCTTCAGATATTCAACTCAGGCTTGTTTCAATGTTTTATGTTTTGTTGTTGTTGTTGTTTTTAAATAAAAAAAAAACCCGGGTATTAATCGTCTAAACGTGTCAAATTCCTTCTTAAAACTTTTAAATAAGAAAACCAGATTTCAATAAATTTAATCCGTGAACGAACATTCTGGATTCAATGAACATGGCCTAAGGGGAATAACTCTAAATTCCGTTTTATGCGATCGTATAGATTTAGTCCATTTTTAACAACCGTTAATAAAATTTATATATAAAATTATATTATTTCATTATGCGTATAATATTTGGATTCATTTCATATTATAATCATTTTTTTCAAATCGTTTAAAAATTATATTTTGAACAATAAAAGTCCCGTTTCGCGAGATTATGTCATTAGACATTTCACCAAAGTCGCAGACAGTGCAGTTCGATGCACAAGGCATCGAATTCAAAGATCTTTATTTTCAAAAGATCTTGCAAATGATTTGAAGAACCTCAAAGCATATGAAAGTTAGCGTGTCACTTTGAATTTCTCAAAGGTAATCGACTCATGACAAAAGTAACGCTCCGTTGTGAAAGTTGTCGATAGTCGGCCATGTTATGTGAGATCCGGGATTTCCTAAACCAAAATAAACGCAATTGTCAAATATAGAATAACAGAACAATAGCATCTGAGATGATTTTACATTAAGTTATCGTTATAGATAGTGTTGCGCTGCATGGGAATGGATACACTTTGCTCAGGACTACATATTTTCTCATGGAGAATTTCTTCTACGGTTATTTTCTGAAAAGAATATTTGATATATCATTCGTCTGACTTGCGATTCTTTTGCGGACATTGGCACTTGTTTTCCTGTTGCTGTGTAAGAGTAAAATATTGACGTATTTATAAAGTGTAGCAGGTTGAACAAGGCATTGTATGCAGATAGTTATCTCCTATACACGTTTAGGGAAATGACCGTAAATTTTGTTTGTGTATAATGTGCTAGTATTTTTGGAGGGAAACAATTATGGGAACAAAGCTTCAATGGGGATTATTAATATGTTGACGGTGCGACCGTTGGGGCGAGCGCATTGTTCACTTAATTTTAAGATCCGCCTCTTCAAGCCGCATGAGACATTTGGAACGTCAAGACTGTGACGTCACATGACGTCGTATGTTAGCTGCATTTCCATAACCAAAGTTTGAAAAGTGCAAAATTTTATCAAAGAATGTTTAATATACTAATCTGTATGCAATATCCATTAAATTAAGGTGAGTTTATTTTTTATGAATTTTTAGTTGTTGTTACCGCATGAACGAAGTTAGCAGCGAGAACAACAAGCGATGCATTGTGGGTCCAGAATTACTGCGGAAAAAAATTCTATTGAATGAATGTGCAGCAGTCCGAATTTTCTCTTCACCCAGGCATTGTCGTTAGAGCTCGCAGAGACGAGCGGCGCTTTGCGCCACTCGCTGCGCTCGCTATGAATAACTATATAAGCTTTAAGTGTAATCATAATAGCAACTGATGACAGTATCACATTATTTGCAGAATTTGGTCAAGTGACCATGACCATTGTAATGAAAGGGGGTCAATCTGGGGAAGACACCCCACAAGATGTTCCACTACAAAAAGGAACAACTGCAGTACCCCCTTCATCTACCCAGAATTCTGCTGGACCCCAGACAAGTGGGTCACAAATGGTGGCAGATGAAGTGGCTCCAGCAGATGTGTCCATTGATCTGGACGAGCTAAGAGATGACCAAGAGCCAGACTTTCCAGTTGTGGAGTTAGGAAGGCTGGATGAAATGATAAATAGACCTAGGTGGGTGGTTCCGGTGCTACCTAAAGGAGAACTAGAGGTTTTGCTGGATGCTGCCATTAAGTTGTGCAAAGAAGGTAAGAATCTAGAGCATCCATCTAAAATTTTATTTGAAATAATATTGAATTTTTTGATTTCACCTTTATTTTCTGTTACTAGGATTAGATACAAGAAGTGAACCTTGCCAAAGATTTTTCAGAGAAGGACTGACTGTATCATTTACAAAAATAATGACTGATGAAGCAGTTAGTGGATGGAAGTATGAAATTCACGTAAGTAAAGATGTAATGAAGCGTTATTTATTATGTGTATTGAAATTTATGATAAATCTTATATATTGTAGGAATTGAACTTTGTTATATTGAACACTGATGTCTCAAACACTTAGGAATATGTTGAAGTGAGTTGGCAGTCCCAACCACTTTTTCTTCATGTTTTTAAACTTACTTTCTTGAATCATTGGATATCTTGAAGTTTAATGGATGTCTCTTTGAGATCATAGTTACATAGATGTTTAATATTTTTCAGCTGTAGGTATAAATTTCCTATCCCAGGTTTACAGATATATATATATATATGTATATATATAAGTAATGTTTGATATGTGTGGAATTAATAAGTAAATTAACAAATAATAATTTTATTTCATCTCCTGTATTTGACTGAAATAGGTTTATATTTTGGATGTCTAGCTTTAACCTTAATTCCGTGTTTATAAATATAGTAAGATTTTCATTTTTGATCTATTTTAGAGATGCATATTAAAAAATGCAGAGAAGCTCATTGAATTAGTTGTTACAAAGCTGTCCCAAGACTGGTTTCCACTTCTTGAACTTTTAGCTATGGTTTTGAATCCACTTTGCAAGTAAGCATAATTTTTTTAATGAATTAATTGGTTGTCATATATTAGGTTCTAATGATATAGAATAATATTTGAATGTTTTTTTGCTTTATCAGATTTCATATATACAATGGAAGTCGTACCTCAGAGAGCGTTCAGACTGGATCTGAAAATACTGAAGAGGCATATGCTCGTCCCCCTGATCCTAGAAATCCTAAAGTAATCATTCTTATTCTAAAATTATTAACCCAAAAAACTTATTTATGTACATGTATCTAATTATGTATTTAAAATCTGAACTTAAATTTATGCAAGACCAAAGATCTGACAAGTTGTGCGTATTTGTTAATGAATTTGTTTATGATAATAATATGATTAATTATTTGCAGGGATGGCTGGTAGACTTGGTGAATAAGTTTGGAAAGTTAGGTGGATTCCAGATTCTGCTTGACAGATTTAAAAATGGTCCTCAACTCTTTGTGCCAGTTGTAGCAGCATTGATCAAGTAGGTTTACAGGAAATGGTTTTGTTTATGGAAACTGTTTTGTTTAGAAGTTGTGGAGGGTGTGTGTTATAGACTTATTTACTAATGATGATTGATTGAGAGAGATGACCTTTTTTTAATAGGCCGTTTGGTCAGTGTGCTGAGGTCCTTACACCCCAGACAGTAGAACAGTACTTCTTACCAATTATTGTGAGTATGCCTGACTTTCTTTATGGAATGAGTCCTGTTATGTACATATTCTTATAGATCAGATTTGATAAATATTGTTTGGTATATTTTCATCTCAAGGGTACATTGTATATTATATGAGTTAGCATGTATATATGAAGCAAAGGATTTGTTTTAAGTAAGGGTGTAATGAAAATCTCAAGTTTGTTTTCTTTTGCTCTAATGTAGGAAAGAGAGACAGTGCTTGGCATTTAATTTTAAACCAGTATTTTGTTATCATTGTGATTAGTACTTAAGTGTGTCCAGGAAAAAAGGGAATTCATCTTTTTCTCTTGTCAGTCTGAAGAGGAAGTTCCCATTTCCATCACTTGTTTAATTTCCTTGTTGGAGAAAATTTTCAATAGATAAAAATAACTGCATGTGAAAGCGCACATTTTGTTTGATATTGTTGAAGTATTTCTGAAATACATGTTCAGTTTTCATGGATAGATAGCCTATATATTTTTTATTCTTTTTGCCAAAAAAAAAAACTGGAAAATGAAATTGATGTTTTCCCGTATGATATTTTTCTTATACTGTATGTACATATATATGTTTGTTTTGTTGCAGGAAATAGTTCCAAAATTTCTCAATGAACTCACAGATGAAGAGCTAAAAAAGGAATCAAAAAATGAAGCCAAAAATGATGCTTTGTCCTCTATCATCAAAGGACTGAAGCAGCTAGTAAACCGACTTCCAAATCAGGAAGACACAATTAAAAACCTTGAGGGTTTTAGACTCAGAATGATTCTGAGGTGTGTGAAATTTAAACTACTAATGCATGTGTTTTGTTTTTGTTAGTTATTTTAAAGAATTCAGAAGTATTCAATCTTTTGTGTCATAATGTATGTTTTATATTTTTAGGTTGTTACAAATCTCTTCCTTCAATGGTAAAATGAATGCTCTAAATGAAGTGAACAAGGTCATTTCTAATGTCTCATTCCAATCCAGTCGTCACTCTCAGACAGAAGAAGATGAGTGGCTGACAGCAGAGAAAATGGCTGTAAGTAATAAAGTGGCAAAAATCAGATAATACATTGTACTGATTTGGTTGAAAGGTGCTAAGTTCATGGAAGAAAGGGCAAGGTATGGTGACAGCTGAATTTGGCTCCTTATTTGATATAAAAATCAAAACACTGATATACATGCAATTGTGGTAGTTTGCAGTTCAGAACTTTAAATGATGCTTGTTTTAGATCAAGAATTAATTTTAAGTCGAAGCATACAGATGCCACAAGAAGGTGAAAATAAGAACATTTTACCAAATTTCCTGAATTCTGATGGAATTTTGTCACATTTAAGATACTATTCACTTTGGGAAACATAGGTTAGAGTACAGGCTTGTCATTATGAGATTTTCATACACAAGATGTACATGTACATGTATCTGATACTAGTGGATCAAATATGTAAATTTTGTAGATAAGCAAACTTGGACTCTGTGTTTTCTGAAACAAAATATGCCTTAAAATTGATGAAAATTTGAAAAAGAATGAAAAAAATTAGAAATTGGCAAATTTAGTGACCTTCATGGTAATCTCTATGTATTTTATCACTTAAAATCCATACTCATTTTGTAATAGGTTTGATTATGAACTACTACATCGTTCTAAGAGACACCCGAAAGTTGGAACCAAAAAGGGGTCCTAGCTTATTTTGTCCTTTGTTGTGAAAATAAGATGTTAAAAATTTCCTTCGATGATGGAGAATGATAAATTATGTATTATTTACTCATATATACATGTATATAATGGTTTCAATAAATATGTAGTACATGTAACTACATGTAGATTTTTGTTGACAAATTCATGGCATTAAATATGAAAAAGTACACACCATTTAGAAGAAATACATGTCACATGTAAAGTGTAGTAGGAAAGAAAATTAAAGATTTTCAAATATTGTATAGGAATGGATTCAGAAAAATAATGTGCTGATCATAGTTTTACTATTGTAATAGGAATGGATTCAGAAAAATAATGTGCTGACCATAGTTTTACGAGACAGTCTCCATCAACCTCAGTATGTAGAGAAATTAGAGAAGATCCTTAGATTTATGATCAAAGAAAAAGCTCTGACTTCTGAGGATCTTGACAAGCTTTGGGAAGCACAGGTAAATGACAATACTGCCCAGTAATTCTGAAATATGTGTAAATGATTTACTATCAGGTTCATATTAGTTATTAACCAATGTTATACTATTACATTTTCAACAGTGAACTACTGTAATTTTGCACTAGTGAAAATATCAAAAAAATTCTGAAATGGATTTCAGAATTGAAATTTTGTATTACTTGTGAAATAAATTCCATATTCAACTACAAAACATTGAGTATCTTCTATTTATCCATTGTAGTCTGGGAAACATGATGCTATTGTGAAAAATGTACATGACCTGCTAGCAAAGTTAGCATGGGATTTTTCTCCAGAACAGCTAGATCACCTGTTTGAGTGTTTTCAGGTAGGTTTCTAGAGTTTAAAACTTTTCAGTTGTTATTTGTTTTGAGACTTTGTAATGATGAATTTTCAATAGAAGTGCATATGTTAGAAAATTACAAGACTTTAACATTTACATGTACAATACACAAAAATAAGTTATGGAGGAAAAATGAAAATAAACAAAGGTTTGATGAAGTCTTTTTTGTTAAAAGGTGAGCTGGACTCATGCCTCGAAGAAACAGAGAGAGAAATTGTTAGAGTTGATTCGCAGATTGGCTGAGGATGACAAAGAGGGAGTTATGGCTCACAAGGTAGTACATTTTTATGTATCTTGTAGATTATTTAAATTTTCTGTTTCCTGTAATTGTAAATGTAATTATTAATTTTACATATAGGAAATCTCTAATCTATGAATTTCCTCTAATTTATAATTACAGTTAACTCTCGATACCTCGAAGTCCGCACGACCAAGGAAAAACTTCGAGAGATCAAGAGTTCGAGTTTTCAAGAGTCCAGAATTTTCTGGTTTTGTTGACAGGTTTTAAAATTAGTCTTACCGAATGTAATGATTTTCATACAGTGCTAACATTTTACCCTTGGTTTTTATAAAACAACGATATTTTTCATAATTAAGATGAATATTTCATTAAACTGAGTAAAGCAAAAAATGTGTATCGTCATTTCATGTATATTTATTTATTCTTTGTAATACGAACATCATACTACACATTTGTTACATGAATACGACATTTTACAGCGTCGTACATATAGCATTGACTATTCCAAACATGGTCATTGAACGCAGTTCTGTAATTATTTGTCCAATAATAGTTGTCATATTGACATTGAGGCCGTTTCTGCCTTTTCATAATTCATTTAACTTTGACACTGACTCGAAATAGAAATTAAATTAGTGTTTCGTCTTTTAATCTATTACTACTTTTCACTGACACTGCGTAAATTATTGTAAGACAGTCGATGATAATTATTTTAATAGCTTAAGGCAAAAAAGATTAATTTTAAATCAATTATCACCTTGCATCATAAGTGTCACCTGAATAAACATCCCGTTCTTCGAGACCGGCATCTTCTGCCTGGGTCCATTTAAATGTCCAGGTAAAGGTGCTAATTATATAACCTTGTATACAATAGCCACTTTGAGGTATCGAGGGTAAATTCTAATAGAATATGCATAACTGGACTGCATTTTGACTTTGAGGGATCAAGGGTTTCGAGAGATCAAGAGTTCGAGAAATCAAGAGTAAATTTGCTTAGTTATAAGTTGGGGACTGGAGACTCACTTCGAGCGATCAAGAACTTCGAGAGATCGAATTTCGAGCCATCAAGAGTTACCTGTACTGTAAACAGACTTTTTTCCCACTGGATCATAATTGCATGCAATCACAATTTTTGTTCAATCCACTGGTAGAAAATTAAGCAGATTTCTTGGATTGCCTTTGAAAGTCATCAGTGCTCTAAAATACACTGTGACCAATTTTAGCAGAACATTTGTGACTGCTTACATAGCATAATTTAATCCCATGTTGAAAAAGTGTGCCTACAGTATTAACGTCTATATACATGTATGAGCTGGAAACATTGATTTTTGCATTTCTGGATTTTTGAAAGAGAGAGAATGATATTTGTACTAGATGTGTATTATATATACATGTGCATTTGTTTAACTCCTTTCCAGGTTCTTGGATTATTGTGGAATTTAGCTCACAGTGAGGATGTCCCCACGGAGATCATGGACCAGGCTTTAACAGCCCACATCAAGATCTTAGACTATAGTTGCTCACAGGTAGTGAAATTAAAAGAAACTATAATAACAAGTTAATATTGAATACTTTTATCAGGAATACTTCAGTATAGTGTACATGTACATGTAGTTCAATGTATGTATAATTAATTTTGACAGAAATATTGCATTAATAATAGAATTATTATTGAGTACAAAGAAGTAAGGAACGAAGCAATTTATTTAAACTCTCCATGGATGTTTTAATGTCACTAGGTCAGGAATTGATAATGGTTTTGTCTGTGACAAGTTTAATCATACATGTATGTATATCTGTATGTATTTGTCATTAATTTTTTGCTATACATGAAAAGGGGGACAAAAGGTGAAATATGAAAGGAAATGACACAATTTCTTTGTAGGACCGTGATGCCCAGAAGATGACATGGATAACAAAATTTGTGGAAGAATTGAAGAATGACAAATGGGTATTGCCAGCATTGAAGCAAATTCGTGAAATCTGTCAGCTCTTTCCAGAGGTACCTGTAAATGCTGTCATATCTACATTATACATGTACTGTACATACATATTTTCCTTAAGCAGGATAGCAAAGAGAATCTACTCACTTTTGCTGCAGGGACACATAAAGTAGTGTTTATTTACTGGTCAAAATGAAGAGAGTAAAATTAAAAATATGTACTTCCTGATAAGACTAATAACACAGAGAACCGTGACTGTTTTCCTGTTCATGTGCCCAGCTTTGATTAAATGCAACCATAGAATTTTTTATCCTTTCAGTCACCACAGAATTTTCCTCATGCTCCACAGAGAGCCTCTCATGTATACTATCGCAATACTGTGATAGCACAGCTCCAGAGTAACCACTCCATAGTCATGTTAGTAGCCACAAATCTCTCCAACTACATGAAGAAAGCAAGAGAGCTGGCAAGAGGTAATAAAAAAATCATCATTATAACATTGTATTGAAGATATGTAATGAGATTTAAAGTTGCATGTATATAACCATATTATTGTTGTCGAATTTTGTACATCAACAGATCATCCAGAACTGGATTCCAGCAATATTTTACCAGATGGGAGATTTAACCATGTACAACAAATTCAGGAACGTCTCAGGTTTTTAAGGTACTGTATGTTCAGTATAATTGAGACATAATTTTAATTTTGAAAATTGTTTCAGAGAAAAAAACAGTGAAGTATACAATGTTAGTATAACTTTATTTTGAACTGAAAGTCAAGGTTAATTTAAAAAAAAGGCTTAAAGATCAGTTTCTTAATTTATAGTTTGACTTTTTGAAGGTTTTTACTAAAAGATGGTCAGCTGTGGTTGTGTGAATCTCAAGCCAGACAGGTAACATTTGAGAATACTGTAATAACTCACACAGATGTACATTTATTTCTCTGAAGTTCTTAAACTGATTTATGAATGTTATTCAGTATTTTTGGTATTTTAGATATGGCAGTGCTTAGCAGAGAGTGCAATTTATCCCTCAGATAGGGAGTCTTGTTTTAAATGGTTTGCCAAGGTAAGGATAACAGGCTCAGGACAGAACTGAAGTTTTTCTTTTGGTTTATGGTAAATACCCGCTGTGTCAATAGATGTTGCATACATAACATTTCATATACATGTATATTGCAGCTAATGGGAGAAGAACCAGACTTAGATCCAGAAATAACAAAAGATTTCTTTGAACAAAACATTCTACAGCTTGACCCGAGTCTGTTGACAGAAAATGGAATGAAGTAGGTTTTAATTAGCAGAGAATTAATATTTATAAAAATGCATTTTAATAGAACATTAACATACATGAATGGTGAAGTGCAAAGATGTATATTCATTTCTCTTGGTATTTAAAATGTTAAATTCTTTCTCAGTTGCTTCGAGAGATTCTTTAAGCATGTGAATCAAAAAGAAAACAAAATCATTGCCAAGAGAAGGGGAGGTCATCTGATGGATGACCTTGAACTCATAGGAATGGATTATTTATGGAGGGTAAGGTCATGCTTAACAGTCATTGGTTTATCAGCTGTGAAAAGTGTTTTATTTGACCATGCTAATTATAGATAATTTTTGAATATTTGCTAAAAATTTTAGTGTCCTTTGGCTATTATGTAAAGTTTATGAACTTTATTTGAATTACTTGATAAATATACAGTAGATGATTTGAAATTTCTGCTATTCCTGTTGCAGGTAGTGTTATTAAGCCCAGATGAAGTTGCAAACAAGGCAATTATCTTATTGAAAGACATTTACACAAACCTGGGACCTCGTTTACAACAAAATCAAGTGGAAATACACGATGACTTTATTCAGTCATGTGTGGACCGACTCAAGGCATTGTATGACACAGTGAGTGTGCTGGAGAAAGACAAAGACAGTACAAATCGTGTAATGCAGGAGACCACCAGAATGGTTCGAGTATTGACGGTGCTTCGGGAGTATGTGGCAGAGTGTGACGAGGCTTACACGGAGGAACGATCCATTCTCCCACTTAGCAGGTTTGTGTAATTTCCCAACATCAGAGAGATACCAATTCATTAGGAGGTGGGGGTACTATTTTGTGATAAAATGTTCTTTTAGGTTTAAGACGTACATTTGGTGGGAAAATTAGTTTTAATTAAGATACATGTTAATCTCCATATGTTTGAGCTTTTATTTTCTTTTGTAGAGCGTGTCGAGGAAAATTAGTGACCTTAATAATTCGGTTCCCTAGTCAAGGACGTCAGATGGATGATATAGACATCTGGTCTCATACTAACGATACAATAGGACAAGTACGAAGACAAGTTTTGTGTAAAATTAAAGCCAGTAGTAATATTAAAGTGGACTTGTATGCTAATGGTGAACTTCTTGATCCAGTGGAAGACAAGAGACTTATTTCTCAGATTCCCTTACGAGAAAAATCAGTGAGTAGAAATTACGTTATGATATCATTTGATTATGTTCACCCATAGAAACTTGAATATTTGTTTGTTAGATAGTATTTATTGGTATACATATATGTGCACATATATTCTCATATTTCCCCCTTGGTGTGAAATCATATTTTATGATGGCTTGATAAGACCAAACAAAAAGAAACAAATTACTGGTAATGTTTGTGTTTCCACTAATTGCATGAGAAAAAGAAATGGGTTGATAAGCATTTCAGAAGTAGATTTTATGTTCTACAGAATGTATTTTCTGGAAATATCAATGCCTTACATAATACATTTTTTTAAATTTCAAATTATTCATAGGTGCCAGAAGACTTTAAAACACTGAAATTGTTGTAATGTAAACACTTGGAATTATGAGCGTTGAAACTAATGTAATAATGTATACCTGTGTACTTTCTAATTAATACGAATTAATAAGCTTAATATGTGTATTTGTGTTGTAGCTTATAACAGCAAAGTTGATACAGGTGGGAAGTAACATGCCCTCTAGTCCTGACAGCAGTTCAGACAGTTCTGCTGGCTCCCCTCATCATACATTTGATGGCCCTAACATTGAGGCAGAAAACTGTTTACCAGGGGTGGTAAGGCATTTCATGCTTGTACATGTATTTTTGTATTATTGGAGTACAATTTATTAATCATAAAGCTGTAGTAAAATAATTTTCAAAAAAATCATGATGGAATTTTTTTTTATACATATATGTATTGATACAGTGAAGTGTGGTTTCTGGGACAGATTCTTAATCCATTTTCCCCCAGCTTTGAATTTCCAAACCTCTTGTCTTTTCAGATAATATCAAACAATTACCGGTATACTCAGTTCCTGTTTCAACTATCAGACTTGGGCTGCCAGCTACAGGTGCCGAGACTACGAGATACTGCCAGGGCAGTGTTAAAACTCATGCCAGCTGGTAGGTGCTTCTGTGATATATGTAACAATTTGATAAATAAGATATTGTTAATATTCTGAGTTTGTCTTACTGTGATCATTTCTCTTCATCTCTCTGTTGGAGACTTAAATTCTTTTAAATGTTACACACATAATTAATCCAGAACGACTCAAATGTGTATATTTGTTGTATTTTCCTCATGCCTTATATATTGACTTACCTGCTCCCCATTGTAGATGTACATACAATAGACCAGCTTAAGTCAATATGTGCTGAACACAGTCGAGGAGAAACAACATATTCCAATGACTTAGAAGCCATGTTTTTTACTACTTCAGCAACTCAAGCTTTGTATAATATTGAGGTATTTTGTCTCGTATAAAATATTTGTGTTTTGTTTACATATTTCTAATTGTCTCAATAAATGATCTACTTTTTTGGTCAGGTTGCATATAGTTTACTAATGGTAGCAGTAGAGACAACTTCAGATGATGCATTTGAATTCCATATAACTTAATTTGTTTGATTGTGTCATATAACTTTATATTTTTGATTGTGTCAGTAAATGATCTACATTTTTCGTCAGGTTGCATATAGTTTACTAATGCCAGCAGTAGAAACAACTTCAGATGATGCATTTGAATTTCAATATAACTTTGTAAAAAGTGGTGGTGTTCAAATTGCCATGAACATGTTAACCAAAAACAACTTTCTACCATCAGCTGATTTACCTACTAGAAGGTGAGAGTGTTCACCAAGTTGAAATGTCTTTCACAAAGATGAAAAGTTAATTTTTCATACATATTACAGCTCTAGTAGCAAACTAAAAAATACTGGGATAAGCATACATTTGCGTGAGAAAAGAAATGATATGATGTATAATTTTGTAAAATTTGCTGATTGCAAAGAAAATATTACAACAGCAGAAGCTGTGCAAATTGCTACTTCAGTTTAAACAACTTTCCTCATGTATGCGTTACAGGGCGGCCTATATAACCGTGATGAAGATCTGTAAGCTCATGCTCACCACCGTCAGTCATGCCAAATTTCAAGTAGTGGTGGAGGCCTGCAGTGCCGATCCTCAATCTCCCAATATCACTCAAGCGGAACATAGTCATGCTCTGATTCTTCAGCAGGCCCTTCAGTTTATTCCTAACCCAGGGGCAGAGGTCATGACAAGAATGGTAGGATTAAGGCTGGGTCAACAGTTGCTTGATCAGGTATAATATGACTTATTACTGAATAAATGTGTAATTTATGAATCCTTTTTTTTTTGTAATGTTTACTCTAATTATTGGTTTGCAAGTTTGAAATATAGGCATACAAAAGCTTACTTCCTGTGATTAAGAAAATAAAAAGAACAAAGCTTAAACCCTCAAAAAAACGATTGTGTTGAATTCGGAATAACAAAGATTTAGATTGCTATGAATTTATTTTTTTTAAGACTTGCATTACTTTCAAAAACGTAGGTATACTTTATGAGAACTCCTGTCATATGTGATTGAGGAGAGCTCACAATCCTAAGCATTTGCATGTTATGAATTCTGATTGGTCAATTCTTAAATGTTTATGACTCTCAGATTATATGTATATAAAAGTATTGTTGAAATCAATATGTACTCTTTGGTAGATACTGTAAATGTGGAAATTTACAAGGGGGGGTAATTTGTGCAAATATGTGGTAAGAAATCTTTCGGGTAAATATATCCCCCGTACAAACTCCTTTAAGCATATTTTGATCAGTTCTATCAAAACATCATCATGTTATCACAGAAATAACCCCAATGTGTAATGTTCTTGGATCTAATTTGTGCACATGGGTAAATATCCATGTTTGCAGTAATGGACAGTTTAACTGGAAAACTTTTGAATCAAGTGCACACACATATTTTACAATATTCTACTTTTAGATAATTCTGAAATGCAATCTTTTTCAGCAATATATTGTATATGTACTTGGAAATTTTAGATGTAAATATGGGTGCATTGTATATGTTCATATAAATAATTATATATGTTTAATATCTTACTCTTTAGTGTGATTGAAGAAGCTTACAAACAAATGCATGAACTTGAATTTTGTACTGAATTATCTTAAGGTTATATTTATAATGGCTATAACTTTATTAATTTCAACAAAGTACTGAAACATTTGATGTGATAAGGTACATGTATGTTTAAGATAAATATAATTAGAAGTTTCACTTGTTCATAAGTCAAACATCGTTATCTCAACCTCGATGGGGTCGAGAAAAAACTTTTAAGATATACAAGGATTAGTGATGTTGAAGGTAAAATACTTAAAGAATAAGTAGGTGGGACTTCCAAATCACTTCAACATATCCATAGTATTCAAGATATTGGCGTTCCAGATACCAAAATTCAACTGTGTATGTAGAATCCCTACTCATTGAAAAACTATGTGTATGTGCAAGTTCTTCATCTGCCTAATGCTTGGGAACAAGTAACAATCCCCTTTAAAGTAAGTATAGATGAACATTCTTTTGCTCCAGTCTTAATATAGTTTGATTTCTGTGTTTTTTCCAGGCTGCCAAGTTTGCTCCCGATATGTCTGTGATAAAAGCCATACAGAGGATTGCCTGGGCATCCAGTAGTAGTTCCTTACACTTAGTACATGCCACTAATGAGGAAATCCATAAAGCTCTGGAGAAGGTAGGCTTCACATTCACTATTGTCTATAGAATACCATAGGGACATTGATGTTGGTATGGCTCTAAATCACATTCAGAAAAATTCCACTTTTATTATGTACTGTTCCTGTACAATCATTTAATTTTAAAACAAAAATGGGGGGGGGGGGGTATGCATTTTGTAGGAATTTGCAGGAAAATTGACTATATACATGATGTTCATGGGCTTTTTTGGTTAAGAGTTTACAGATTTCTGGCTTTGTTATGTGATGCATGTGTGTTGTGTTTACAGAGACAGGAACATGTAGAGATGGAGGATCTAACAGTGGCCAGGGAGTCCCTGGAGGTCCTCACTGTTTGTCTTATGTTATGTCCTCCTGCCTTAGATGCCCTCAACAAGGACAAGTCTTGGCAGACATTTATTAAGGATCTTTTATTGCACTGTAAAAACAGGTATATCTTTTTTTGAAGTGTTTTAGTTTGAAAAATTACAGTCAATTAAAAAAAAAAGAAAATCTGTAAATGTTCAGTTTTTTGTGTGTTTTTCGTGTGTTTTTTTTTTTTATTTTTTGCTTTGACCTTCTAAAATGAGATATTTTTGAGACAAAAAACAGAAATATGAATATTTCATAATATACATTCGTCAGCACTTTTATGAAATTAATTTTTTTTTAGGCCAGTGAGAGTTGCTGCCGCTGAACAGTTTTGTTTGATGGCCACTCGATGCTGTGGGGGAACTCGTCCAATGGTTTTCTTTATAACTCTTCTCTTCTGTGAACTCAGTGTAAGACATTTATTTTGCTCTTCATACAGTATGAACTTTAAATGAGTCAAAAATATTTATTTAAAAATTACACAAAATTAGCAATGGGGAGAGCAATGATGCTACCTCAGTAGCAGTGTTTATTAATATTTGTGCATCAGATCTTTTCAGTTTCGTTCATGTATTTGTATCTACTGGAAACAACATTCTTAAAAATTTGCTTTTATCCAATTTACACAGTTTATATGTAATTAAAGGCACATGTTTAAATAGAAAATAAAATTGTTTTTGAACAGGAAGCTGTGAAAGAGAATGCCAAGCAAGCCCATGAATACTTTAATTTACTGTGGAAGTAAGTACAACTTGGCACTGGTTGAAGTATGGTGATAATTTCATAGCTATCATTATCAGAAACAAATAAATGATGCTTGTTATCTTCTTTTTCAGATTATTAAATTATGCATCAGCTTCAGAGGTCAAGTTACCAAATGCTGAAAAACAGTTAAATAATGAAATTCAGTGGATAAAGAAAACTAAGGTTTGTTTTCTAACAGTTTCAATTTTTTGCGGCTGTATTCAGAAGTAGATGGTCTTTAACTTATACAAAATAGAAGATTATGAATAAATGAGAGGGTTCTGTTGTCTTGAGGCATTTTGTTGTTCAAATGTTAGAAGTAAAGGACTGCTTTAGATTCATCTTCCATTATTATTATGTAAAGCTTTCAATGACCAGTCAATATTTCAGGATCACGTGATAAACTCTGGAGAAGTGATTGTAGAGGATGCTCTGTTAGAGGGACATCTGGGGATTACACGTGAATTACTAGCATTCCAGTCACCAGAAAAGAAGTATAACATCGGATCTGAAAAAGGAGGATCCAATCTCATTAAGGTATGGAATACACTAAATAATGTCTGTATAGCTAAACTGCCTTTACTTTTGCACCTAAAACTTTTTTCCCCCCAAATGTACTTGTCATTACATGTAATGTCAGTATATGTATAATATCCTTCCATACTTTGTAGATTGAATTGCATTGATTTCTTTGATTATCAGCAGTTTCCACAGGTACATTTTAAAAAAAAAAAAATTATTCCAACAGGAAGTGGTAGAAGATTTTCTGTTTCCTGCATCAAAGATCGTCCTTCAGAGCAGGAAAACAGGTGGGGAATTCCCCTTAGTGTCAGCTGTTCCCGTGTGTGCCACACCTCCAACCGTGGTAGCAGCCTTTGATCTTTTGGTGTCACTCTGTACAAACTGTGTACCAAACTTGAAGTGTGTAGCTCATATGCTGTTAGAAATGTTTTATAATGGTAAGTGGAAATATGACTTAGCATTAAAATAACATTTGCTTTCATTAAATTTTCATTTTGCACTTATCCCTTTATTATGCATTTATTTCAGAAAATCATATCAGTTGCTAAAATAATTCTAAAAGGAATTGAAGTTATGTCAAATCATTTGCCATTTCCAAAGATTTTGATATATACTATATGTTCTTTTGATGCATAAAATAAACATACAATGAAGACAAATTTTTAGTATCAGCTCTCAAAAATGTTATTGTTTTTAGGTGAACCACCACTCACAGAATGGGAATACCTGCCTCCTGTGGGTCCCAGACCTCTTAAAGGTTTTGTGGGCCTGAAGAATGCAGGAGCTACCTGTTATATGAACTCAGTGCTACAACAGGTATGGAGATGGGAGATCCTATCAGTTTTCAGATCAATAAAGCAAGAAAAGTACCTGTAGTACCATCATATACATAAAGCACATTTTCTTAATTTTTAAAATGTATGATTTTCTGTTTCTTTGCATTTTTAGCTCTTCATGATAGAAGAAATTCGTAATGGAATTCTGGCAGTAGAGGGAGTTGCAGAAGATGTGATTGATGAGGAGTATGGGGAGGAGAAAACAGAAAATGAGGTAATTTCAATGCTGTGGCAACGTCAAGGAGGAACTTTAAAGGCAGATTCATCTCATAAACTTCTTTAAATTGATTTTCCTCTGCATGTATAAAACAATGTAAATAAAATTTATAAAACTTAATTTGAGATTGAAAAAGGGGAAGTGAAATGCTTTTGGCATATACTGTAAACCAACTATTATTTGCGGCATCTTTTTTTTTGTGATTAATCAACCCATTCACGACCACTAATTTCTGTGACTGAGAAAACATTTAGCAAAAACTCAAAAGTAAAGAATTAGTTTGTGGCAAAAAATATTCGCAAGTAAAAGAAGTTGCAAGACTTAGGGATATTTCTTGCATATGAATAAAGATGATTTACAGTATTTATAATTAATTGAAAGGAAACATTTTATCAACAGTGTTTGTTGCAAAAATGTTCTTTTAAGAAAGAAAGAAGATATTACTCTGCCTTCATTACTTTTGTTTAGACCAACACAGACATGGGTGAAGAAGAAAGAAAAGATGAGGAAAAGCCAGTAGTTGTTAACAGAGATGAAGAGAGAAAAGAATATAACCTGGGGGTTCTCAAGAGAATACAGCTCATCTTTGGTCATCTAGCGGCCAGTAAACTTCAGTACTATGTGCCAAAGGGGTTCTGGAAGCATTTCAAGTAAGAGATTTTTTATTGGTCATAATATTTTAAATGGAGATATTTAACAAAATCAGAACTCATTAAATTATTGCTTTACTTTATGTGAGGAAACAGGAGGAATCTTTATGTGTTACAAATATATTTTATACATGTAAATGCAATAAAATGTATAATATAATTATTAAAAAATTAGAATTAAATGGAATCTTTATGGAGATACAAGTACCTGTACAGATGATTTTACTACTTTTTAGAATGAATTCTTTATACATGTACATGTAGCATTACAATACATGTAAACGGAAAACAGTAGAGGGACTAAGAATATTTTTTGTACAGATTATGGGGAGAGCCTGTCAATTTACGGGAACAACATGATGCTCTGGAGTTTTTCAACAGCTTAGTTGATAGCTTAGATGAATCTTTGAAAGCTCTTGGACAACCACCAGTTTTATCTAAGGTCATGGGAGGGTCATTTGCTGATCAGAAAATCTGCAAAGATTGTCCTCATAGGTAAGTAAGAAATAGAAATCTTTGTTCAGCAAACTGTATGTGACTCTGTTTTACTTCCCTTATTAAGGTTAATTAAAGTTAGAAATTTGTACACATGTGCACATGTATGTTACTTAACATTATTTTTGTGGGTGATCCCATCAAAATCCTTTATATCTTGGATTGTCTGGGCAGTTTTATTTCTTCCATTCATGTATGGTAAATATGAGGTATTGTTCTGAACAGATACCAAAGAGAGGAGCCCTTCACCACACTCAATGTAGATATCCGCAATCACCAAAATCTGCTGGAGTCATTGGAACAGTATGTCAAAGGAGATCTTTTGGAAGCTGCCAATGCTTATCATTGTGAAAAGTGCAACAAAAAGGTCATTGTCTGTGTTTTCCTACTTGATAGAGTATTTTAATTAGGATGTTTGAGGGAATTTCATTCACTGTACAAAATAAATTTATGAAAACAAAAAAATAATACAAGATGCATAAGCAGATATACTCTGAGTGAAGATACAAATTAATTAAATTAAGAAATAATATACATGTACACTGTAGATAGAAGTATTCTTATGTATAGAATTTGTTTTACAGGTTGACACAGTGAAGAGATTAGTCATTAAAAAGCTTCCCAAAGTTTTAGCAATCCAACTAAAGAGATTTGATTATGACTGGGAAAGAGAAAGTGCAATAAAGTTCAATGATTATTTTGAATTTCCTCGAGAATTTGATATGGAACCTTATACAGTACAGGGACTTGCAAAAATAGAAGGTATTGATAAGTGGATATACATGTATATGTGTGTGTAATTCTGAAATCATTTCACACCCTAACAAAGCTGTGATGCTTTCATGTGCACCAGTATTATTATTTTTGTCTTCTCAACTTTGAACTTTTTTTCCGTAGGTGAAATTATAGATGATGATATTGAGAACAAAGAACAGAGCACAAAGTACAAGTTATTTGGAGTAGTGGTTCACAGTGGACAAGCCAGTGGTGGCCATTACTATTCCTATATTCTTCATCGGTAAGGGACAAAAATCTTCTAAATGAATTTACAATTTTCCATAAGGAATTGTTTGAACTCTCAAGAATGATTATTGTTTCAATATCTTTCATTCACGAACATGGATGTCTTCATTCATGTACAGTACATGTATGTAGTGATATTGTGTAGCTTGTGCTGTTTGCAATTATACAGTGAAACTTGTCTAATCTGGATGTTCTGTATTCTGAAATCTTGCCTAATACAATCTAAACTTGAAATCCCTTTCAGTAAATTTCATTGTTTAAATGTGTTGCCCTACCCAAAATGTTGTCTAATCCAGCCAATTTCTCTGGAACGAGTGGTGTTTGTATTAGACAAGTTTTACTGTAATACAATATACATGTAAGGTTGATTTAATGCTTCTCAGATCCCATGTTCTTTGTGATTATACACAGTATTTTCACTGTTTACTGCTAATGTCTTATTTCTGTTATGTTCTCTGACTTGTAGAGGAGAAGACAATCAGCCTAAGTGGTACAAGTTTGACGATGGCGATGTGACTGAGTGCAAAATGGAGGATGACGAGGTAAGTTTGTCTCAAACATCAAACATGTTAAGAATTACATTGCTGTAAAATGACTGAAATGGTAGTGAGATTCCTAGTGAGATATATGTGTATTATGTAAGTTTATTGTTAACAGGAGATGAAGAACCAGTGTTTTGGAGGAGAGTATCTTGGAGAAGTGTTTGATCACATGCTAAAAAGGTAGAGTAGATTCTTCTTTAGTGTTGTTGTACAAATTTACATACACCTCAACTTGTTCATTGATTAAATTTGTTTGTAAAAAGGATGGCATACAGACGCCAGAAGCGGTGGTGGAATGCCTATATACTTTTCTATGAGCGACAGGATGAAAAAGATGAGAAGGATATCTACAAAACCCTACAGGACTTAACTATAGGTTTGTAACATATTGTTTTCCCTAATAAATATAATTCATGTATGTACAAGTATTATACAATAATAGATTATGCTTGTTTTTGAACATGCTAAATATTTTGGTTCTTTTTTTTTTTTTACAGTTAATAAACCTTACCAAATTAAAATGCCAAGCTGTATAGAAAAGTGTGTACGTAAGCAAAATATTCTGTTTATGCATGAGAGGAGTCAGTTCTGCCCAGAGTACTTTCAGTTCATGAAGAAATTACTCAACTGTAACCCTGTCTTTACTCATGGACCCCAAGAGAAACTCGTGAGTTCTACTTAACTGATTTACTGAACGACTCCTTTTTGTGTTCTGACATACATATACATGAAGCTTAGTTAGAAATAAAAGCAAATGTAAACTTTCATTTTTGATTGCAGTCACAAGATATGGAGAACCTAGCAATGATAAGCACAGAGCTTGCATCAAAGTTCCTTTTTAGTGTAGGATTTCATACCAAAAAGACACTGAGGTAAACATATTAGTATTACAGAAAGTTTTTACATTTTACATGTAGTAATGACCAAAGGTTTTTAAATGAAAGCAGAATGGCATGAATGTGCTCATATGATATGTTGTAGGGGTGCTGCCAATGAGTGGTATGAGGCTTTGAACTGTCATCTACGTTCCAGTAAAAAGGTCAGGAATTGGTTCGCACAAAATGTGCTGTTCTCCCATACAAATCGATTTGCTGAGTACTTACTGGAGTGTCCTTCATCAGAGGTTTGTGGATCATATAGAATTTGAACTTACATGTACAACCAGTTTTTGTAAAAATCAAATGAATGGGTTGTTAATTCTGGTAACAACTTTCTTTACAGGTGAGGAATGCCTTCTCCAAAATCATTGTGTGTTTGGCTCATTTTGCCTTGAAGGATGGTCCATGTCCACCACCCCTTGTTCAGGGTCTCTATGGTACGAGAATCTGTTCAAAAAGTCTCTGTCAAAAAGACTCTGTCAATGTTACATGTAAGTTATAAATGTGACTTGTACAATAATGTGAGGCTTTTCTTTCATTAATACAGGTCCTGGACAGCAAGCAGACCCCAGTGCTACATTAAGTGACCACCTCCTCCTAGCAGTGCTGCAGTTACTGAGAAAGGAGGTATCCGATCATGGACGCCACCTACAGCAGTACTTCCACCTCTTCCTCATGTATGCCAACCTCGGGGAACAGGAGGTTAGTGGACACTTTTAAGTTAGTAAATGGAATATTTGAATGTAGTCACAATAGCATTCTTCATTTTATGACCTGGAGTCTCTCTCTTTACACAGAAAGTGCAGTTGTTGAAGCTAAATGTGCCATCCTTGTTTATGCTGGTTGCACTGGATGAGGGCCCGGGGCCTCCCATCAAGTACCAGTATGCTGAGCTGAATCGTCTCTACTCTGTTGTCTCTGTTCTGGTGCGATGCTGTGATGTTTCATCCCGATGTCTTTCTTCAAATGTAAGTTTCCCTTGCCTTAAATGTTCTCTAGTCATTCATACTGTTTTAAGATTTCTTCTAAATTTCTTATCAACAGAAAATTCCACAATTTAAGTCTTCAAAATATTTGAAAATGGAATTATGATTTTTACTATTGAAGAATTGCCTTTCAGCTTTTGGTAGGAATAAAAGCCTGACATTTAATACAGTTCTATTTAATTATGGTTTAATTTGTATAAAATATTGATCATTTTTGTAGCAGGGGGATCCTCCCAAACCAAACCCGTATGGGGATTCCTCCATTAGCCAGCCTCTAATGCCACTTCAGCCCCAGGTGGGAGATCTCTTGTACGGCAAGACAGGATATGTCAAGAAACTGATAGAAGACTGCAACAATTCTGAGGACACATGTAAACTGTTAAGGGTGAGGTGACATGGTCAATCAAGAAGATGAAATGAGTGAAAACCTTTATTATTTGTAGCAGTTCTGTTTCTGAATGTGCAATTTTAAGTAAATATATATTGTCTTTATGTTACAGTTCTGTAGTTGGGAGAATCCTCACTTTTCATCAACCGTTCTGAGTGAACTCCTATGGCAGGTAATTTAAGTAGCATGATTATGTGTGAACTGTTCACTTCAATGATGTAAAACATACATGTACGATGCAACTTACATATTTGTTGAAATTGTCTTTTAGTTATGTTCAGTTATTGTATTTTGCTTTATTTTTTCACATGAGTTGTGAAAAGTACTCTGAATTTCAGTTTGAAACAAAATGTTGATCTTTGCAGGTGGCCTACTCTTATACATACGAGTTAAGACCTTACTTAGATCTGCTACTACAGATGTTATTGTTGGAAGATTCCTGGCAGAATCATAGAATTCATAATGCTCTCAAAGGTACCATACCTGCTGTTTCTGTTCTGCTAAAATATCTTGTAAATGTACCCTTTTCTTTTTAGTTAAATGTTATGAACTGACTATGAACATTGCTCCAATATGTGTCAGGTTAGTAGTCGATGGTGTAACCACAACTAGATGTTTACTGCTATAAATTGTAGGAATTCCTGACGATAGAGACGGTTTATTTGACACTATTCAGAGATCCAAAAACCATTACCAGAAGCGAGCCTACCAGTGTATCAAAATGATGGTATCTTTATTTACACTGTAAGTGTAAAATGTTTGTTTTCTTGTCTGAAACACAATTTGATTCAGAAACAAATACTGTAATTCTAGTGGGGGATCAGTTTAGACATGTATAAAATGAGAATGTGTATATATGACATTGTAGTTGTGGACCTGCTGCTGAGATGTTACAGAGTAATGGTGATGTGAAGAGAAAGTGGACATGGGCAGTGGAGTGGCTGAATGATGAACTAGAGAGAAGGCCCTACCCAGGAAACGCCCAGTACACCTACAACAACTGGTCTCCACCAGCCCAGTCCAACGAGACCTCTAATGGGTAAGAAAAGACTGAGAAACTTCTGCATGCATTTTGTTTATGACTTTATTATTCATTGGTGAGATAACAATAGATTTGTCAAATCAACAATTAATTATAAAGAAGAAAACTCATGTATACTGTACATGCACTTGTATTGATCCAAGTTATAAAAAAAAATCTTATGAAAACAAATTTTAGTATTGTTAGAGAGATCTTGTTTTCTTGAATCCACCAAAAGCTGTATCACAGATATATTTATTTTAGGTACTTCCTGGAGAGATCTCACAGTGCTAGAGTGACTTTGTCAAAAGCATATGAACTTTGTCCAGATGAGGTAAGATTAATAAAGAAAGCAGATTTAACCAATAGCTTCATTTTTTCAGTGAGACAGTTATGGTTGGGAATACATTTGTTCTCTTGTTCTATGCCAGCAACTGGAAAGGGAAATTTTGTTATGTTTTTACCAGTTGTTTTGTAACGGACCTTCATTAAAAAAAATAGTGATATAGATTCTTCAAAAATCTGCTTAGTGCATTAGGCTCTCTACATTGAAGTGATATAATTATTTTTAGGAACCAGATGATGCTGAGCTTTCAGATGATCAGGAAGCAGCACACCCAGATGAAAACCCACCTGGTTATCAAGCCAGGCAATCCCCACAACAGGGAACATCATCGAGTAAACCAGAGGTGGGAACCAGTCAACCCAAACAAGAGGGATCCACCAATCAGCAGTTTCAGAACAATCATGTGAACTCTTCCCATAATTCCCAGCAGCCAGTTGTACCACATGATCAGATTGTCAATCAACTGAACAACCAGAACAACTCACAGACAGGGGGAGATAACCCTGATACTGGGGAGGAGGAGAACAAAACAAACAAAGACTGAGTCCCTCCTGATAGTGTTGTGGAAGGGGAAACTGGTAATGATAGTATCAAAGATTTCAGTGGCCCCAGTTATTTAATCTATGAAATTAGAAAATGAAAGTGGATTCTATTACAGTTGTTTGCTTAAGTTCTTAATTATACTTGTTGCTTCATTCACAGTGTACACCAATGCTGAGATAAGACAGTGTTTGGATTATTATAGGATTTATTTTAGTAACTTTTCTATGTAATCAGATGCAGGTTGAAATCAATATATTGTAAACATATGCATAACTTTATGATAGGTGTTAAGAGACTGAAATCCAAGAATAAATCTTAGCTTTTCTAAATGTAGCAGAATGTAGAAATCCAGCAATTGTTTAAGATGTATTTATGATGATATAGACAAGTTGTGTGCTCAGTGCAGATAATAACACTTCTAGTCCTGATACAGTAAGACTTGTATAGCACCTGTCTATAGATTTAAGATCTTGAATTATAATTATAGTCATGTTGTTTGCTGTAAAAAAAAGTAAAGATTTCCAAAACTTTGAATTATTGTAAATGTATTAAATGGGATATGTGAAAGCTACTTTTTTTCTCCTAGAAAGAAAAAAAGAATGTTTTTGAGATCTAGTTATTCTTTTGTCAACATCACAGTTCTAGAGAAATTAATGCTGAGTTCTGACTATAAAATATATATTTTATAGAATAAAAACGTGCATTTATTAAAGGTATATGCTTTTGGAATAAAATGCCCTTTATGAAAAGAATACAATTTTCAAATGTTCATTACAAGTTGATAGAGCAACATTTTTATTCTTGAAAAAAAAATAACAACCCTACATTACAACTGATTAGTTGGAATTTACTGTACATGTTTTACACTAAGTTGCTGAATTCAGTAGAGGTCTGAATATTTGTTCTACATATGTATACAAACTGACTTCCATTGGAAGCATTGTAAGTGTACAACCATTTTGCCAATTTTTTTGGCAGTAGATAATACAATGTACAGTGTATATTTATTGTGTACTCTGGTGAGTAATGTTATAAAGTGATGCATGGAGAATGTACATAGCAAGAACACAGCAATTGTGATATTTTTTTTTGTATATATACAGACCTAAGCCTGATCAGTGCTAATGTTAGCCATTTGTGTGCTGTATAGAAAACTCATTGTGTACTTGTGTTTTTATTTTCAGCCTTGTTACCACTTTATTTTATGTGCATCACTAAACAAATGCCATTCTTGTCACATGTATGCTCATGTTGTTAATATTCAGAAGTGAATGAAGTAATATGTTGAAGAACTTTGAGAGAGTTCTGGATGTAGTGAATATTTTTCTTTGTACAGTGCTAAGGTCATTGGTACTGATTTCAGTGAATGTGATTTAGTACAGTGCTAACTCATTTTGTGATCAAGTGTCAGACATACATGTACATAACACCTGATAATTGTTATGCTGTAGTTTTAAATCTGTCATTCCTGTATATAATTGTACATATAGAAGTCATATATTATAGCATTTCTTACACACTGTACAGTACACTGTACATACATGTACATCTCGACATGTTCTTCATTGAGATATTCGATGTCTGTAAATAAAACTCTGTATAATTGTGCCCTAGACATAATGATCGTGAATTTTTGTCCTGGTCTTTGTAAGGCCTGTTTTCAATCCTTGCAGTGCCATAGGAAAGTGGAAAATGTTTGGCATGTGTTCACAAATGTAAGAAGGTATTGCAGCTTCATCAGTATTTCAATGAAGAACATGGTGAAGACTCTTAGGTATTTAAATTTGTAGGTGTTGCTTAAATTATTTTTATTGTGGAAACAAAATTGTTTTGATGTCTTGGTATTTGTTTAAACAATTTCATGATAAAACTGTTCTTACAAGGCACCTGTTGCATCATTTTTACTCACCTATGCTAGAGGCTCAATTGAGCTTTCTTAATTTTTTTTTGAATCTGGCAAGGTCACTGGCAGAATAAGTATATAATTCATGTCCAGTCTATAGTTTTCTAATGGAGAGAGATTGGAAGTATATGCAAGTTTTTGACTGATTCAAGAGTGTGTCATTACCTTGACTCAGGGTCATTTGGGCCAGTTCAGGGTCACTTGAAAAACTATATTAGTTCTGTCTTGATCATAACTTAAAATGGAGAAACATTGGAAGCTCATACTTGGCACAAAGATTGCTTATGACCATAGGGTATTATATTGTCTTGACTCAAGGTCACGGGCAAGTTCAAGGTCTTTTGTAGAAAACATGGTGTGAAAACCAGTCTGGCATATGCTTATTGATCAGCATATGCGAGATTGGCCGTGGGTTTCCGACGATGGTAGGAAAAAAAATGTCTAATTTATATCTTGTGGAGAAATTGGAAGTTTATACTTCACTAAAAGATTATTTGTGACCTTTGATGTGTCATGACCCTGACACCAGGTAACTTGGGCAAGTTCAAGGGCAGTGGCAGAAGAAGTATAAAACTGTTACTTGTTCAGAGAAATATTGGATGTCGGAACATTAAAAAGTTGTTTGGGAGTGCCATTTTGTTAGTTTGCTCACAGTTCTTCAATTAGTTTTAGATTGAGAGATTAATTGATTATTGGAAAAGGTTAGCTGCAAGAGTTGCACAAAATTTGCATGGTCACATCTTGGACATCAACATCTCCTTGGTTGGATTAGTAACATGTACAAATATTTGCTAAACATGTATGTTTATTTCATCCAATAATCATAGTCTCATCATCACTCCTGAAATAAACCGAAAATAAATTTACAGAAATTCACAACAAACATTCAGGTATTGAAAGGGGGGGGGGGTTACACATACTTAAGGTTTCCAAACAGTTAAGTTACCCATTTTTCTTCCATTATTTTGTAAAATTAATGATTTACTCACAAGTGAAATGGAAAAAATTGTTGGGTTGAATTTGTTCATTATATACCCATAGGTATGAGTAAATAGTTCTGGTAAAAGTTCGATGAAAATTCAAATCACACAGCACAATCCACTCTCCACATTTCTAATTTTTTCTCTGTTTTTGATTTGTGTTATGTACTGAGGACGAGGTTGTACTTACTCCTTCTGACAGATGTAGTATTCCTCCCACTCACAGTCAGCGTCTGCCCAGCGCCCGTCCCCTGACCAGTTGGCAATCACACAGTCCTCCCCTGCGTTAGCGTTGTTGGGGTCCCCAGGGATCCAGTTTTTGTAGGAGAAAGGTTGGCCCAGGGACGTCCATACAAATGTCCCCTCCTTCTGCAAGTCGGAGCCACCTAGCCAATATACCCTCTTTGGATCTTAAAAAAATGTATGATCTAACAAATACAATGAGTCAATTATTAATGCACAAGAGTTAACCGAGATCAATACTTATAACCAGACTACTGAAATTCTTGTTAACTTTACCCACGGTTTATCATTGTGGTTTAAAAATTAACCCACTCTTAATTGTATCAGATGTAGAGAGAAGGGAGTTTATCCACATTTGAATTACCGGTTCTTTATCAATCGGAATTAGGTCCGTAGGAAGCATTTCAGTAGGGGCGGATGCAGAGCCCATTTCCAGACAATTTTCTGTAGTATAGTATTATATATTAGCAATGTTTTGGGGGTGGGAACAGAACCCTGACCCCGCCCCGGTTCCTATAGGGTTTTTTTTAACCTACGTACATAGTATTTATATTAAAATATTTATTGGAACATAAACTTTTATTTTAATCTCACTCGGCACTGTTATCAATTTATAGTACCTTCCGGTTCCGGGTTTAATAGGAGCCCTAGCCCACCACCACCCACCCCATTTCCCAAAATAAGCAAAAATTGGATGTTAGAAAAATTAGCAATCCAATATGTAACGAGTTATTAGCATGGCATGACCTTGGGAACCGGGGGAGGGGGCACGAGATGGGGGTGCCTCCCTAAAGGCGGATCCAGAGTCGGCGCGCCGGGTGTGCGCCCCCCCCCCCTCCCCCCGTCTGAATTTTTTTGTATGTAGAACTTGTATGTTCATTATACTAAAATCAAGGAAAAAACACCTCTTATTTGTAAGAATTCGTCACCTTCCGGGGGCTTCGCCCCCCCCCCGACCCCCATCAGGACTTTGCCCTGGACCCATTGGGGGCTTCAATAAGACCCCCCTGCCTTCTACTGCGCCCCCCCCCCCCCCGTTATGAATTCCTGGATCCACCACTGCTCCCAACAGTTTCGCCGATATATATCATACTACAAAAAACATCAGAGCTACTTTATGCTTGTGCCCTCTCAATAATAACGTTTGATGACCTTTTCTTTCCCTCGTCAAGAAACCTTCTTGGTAGTATCCCCCCACACTGAAAATGTTTGGTTGTGCCCCCCCCCCCACCCCACCCCTTGCAAGACTGAACTTGCTTCCTACGGGCTTGCATTGTAATTAGAGACACCTTAAACAAACGTATCAGTATTTATTATAGATATCCTTTGAAAACCACTAATACAGACGTCATGTCCAGTTTTTCTTGCTAAATTTAACTGGATCCACTCCGATTTTAGTTCGTGTATTGCAATAGCATTGTTTAAGTTTTATCAATAGAGTTTATCAATAAAAATAAGACTTTAAACATTTCACCCACTGGTGACACGAGTCTTGGCAACTATAAAACTGTCGATGTCGTGTGTGTTTGGTTCAGCCAGAAATGAATCAAATGAACGGCATATTTCCTATAAGTAAAATGTTACTTTAAAAAAAATCTTTCATGCAATGTGATGAAAATGTAAATTAAGATGCTTGGTTTACATTTTCATTATTCGAATAGTCAAATGTTTAAGTCGACGAAAAAACGATTATTTCGGAATATTGCGCTTTAGTACTACATTGTATTTTCTTTTTCCAAGAACAATCAAGAGTTATCTTTCATTGGTTTTAAGAATGCGAAGACCACATAGTATAGATGCCTGACATCCCTGACAAAAATGATATTTTTTTTACCGTATTATGATTTTTCTGTCCAAATAACCATTCATTTAAACTTATAAGAGTAATTTTAAAAAGTATTCGAACCGCAGCCTCGGCCCAGTGGACTTTATTATGACTGAACAGGAAGCAGTAGTTGCCATGTTTTATCCAGCCATCAGTGCAACTCCACGCTAGTCCTACTGAAAGATAATAAATATCAGTCATCAATGTATAACCACAATAGTTCTACTGATAGATGAAGAATGTCAGTTATCACTGTATAATTCCACCTTGTTCTACTGGAAGATAACGTCAGTTATAACTGTATAACCCCACCTTGTTCTACTGGAAGACAAAAAATGTGAGTTATCACCGTATAGCACGCCCACCGCCCTTGTTCTACTGGAAGATAACGTCAGTTATAGCTGTATACCCCCACATTTGTTCTACTGAAAGCTGAAAGATAAAGAGTGTCAATTATAACTGTTAACCCCCTCCTTGTTCTACTGGAAGATAACGTCAGTTATCACTGTATAACCCCACACTTGCTCTACGGAAAGATATAAAGAATGTCTATTATAACTGTATAACCCCACCTTGTTCTACAATTATAACTGTATAACTCCACACTAGTTTTACTGAAAGATAAAGAATGTCGGTCAACACTATAACGTCAGTCATACTGATAGATGAAGAGAATGTTTCTACAATTTCTTAACTAACATTACCGTTGTTCACACAAGGCATTATAAGAGATATCTCAAGGAAAATTATCATGGTTGGATAGCAACATTTGAAAACACATTGCATGAACTGATAAATTTATGGTATTAAAAAGTTATACTTAGGAAAAGATTGGGCGGGGTGGGGATATAAGACCCAGAGAAAGAAAACACACTTAAGATATTTCCTAGCTTTAATTTATGATTAGAATTAAGCAAAAGTTACTTTTTTAACGATTATGCAAATATTAACATAATTAAAATTTCTAAATAAAGCAGTGATTGGACAGTTTACCCAATCATAATGTGCCTTTTATATGAATTAATATACATCACAATTTGATGAAATATACATTAGGGAAATCAGATGTTTGAACAACAGTAATACTTTATCTTGATGAATAAGGTGAAGATAACGAACAGTAATCGATCTCAAAAAAACTACAAACAATACAAATCTGTGAACAGGGCATAAAACACGGACTGCCGGAAATTTCACAGGGTGAGATCAGGTGCCTAGGAGGAGTAAGCATCCAATGTGGACGGGTCACACCCTTCATGAGTCCTATGTATTGATCAGGTAGACGAGATAATTATAGAAAATTAAAAACAAAGGCCTAACAATTGGTATGAAACACTTTAGCCAAAATACGACCCAATGATAGGTTATATTTGCTAAAAAAATCATTATAACGACAATAGAATTTACGAAATGCTGACTTTAAACGAGGTCGTTGAATTCCCTTTAACATCAACTTATCCGTCAGAAGTCTGCCTCGGGTTTAAACTTCATCATACTTGGAGTATGCTCTTGCGTGTCGAATAAGATGGGAAAACAGACACCATGTGCAGTTGATAATGGGATATTACTGCATAAACAAAGAAATCAAGCTGACGATGGAAAAGCTGAAGTCATCTCATTTAATATGCAGTTTAGTTGTTATTTGGCCATTATCGTCTATAGTAAGCTAAACATCCAAATTTGAAACAGATGTTGCAGACTCTGTGGTGTCTTTTATTTCGAATTCACTATAAATATCGGGTTCGATATATCGAGTCGACATCTGAATGAAAGTAGCTATAATAATTTATAGATTGTCGTCGATACTTAGTATATCTAAATGTCGAGCTGAAGGCCAAAACCCAGTTTTTCTTCTCATATAGAAGTTTTTGATAAATTCTGCTTCATAGAAATATAAAAACAGGTCGGCTAATAAAGGAGCATAATTACTTCCTATCGGAATTCCAACAGATTGTTGGAAGACCTGGTCTCTTAAGACCACAGATGTTGTCAATGAGGAACTCCAGCATCATTTTAATATCAACTTTAGGGTACTTGTGTTTAGAATCAAAGTGATTTTTTACAAAGTAATTTTGTAGATGACCAATCACATGATATGAAAAATTTCCGCGTTCCATTTTTATTGAAGAAGTAGTTGTCTATGATACCAAAATAACCGTGACCTTAAATTGTGGTCAGGGTCACTAGAACCCTTTGATCATAATATACCTTTGTGCAAAGTATAAGCATCAAAAGTTTTTACTATTGCAATGAAAAGGACAATAATTTTATTCCTTTACTTTTCCATTATTCTTCTATGGAATTGGATAATGGTCACTAACTCTGATCATAACATTTTTGTTCAGTAAATGTGCCAATTAAGATATATCTAGTCTCTGTTACCTTAACATGACCAAATGACCTTGAGCCAGGGTCATTGCAAAACTTATCATAAGTCATTGTTTACATTGATAGTTTTCAGCAAGGTTAATGGAAAGTGGAAGAGTTACACAGTCAGATTAACGCAATTACCCAACCCTAATGCCCAGACATCTAATTTTTGTACATACAACTCAATTATTTATCACTGATTCATTTCCGGTGTCGTTTGTAAATCATTTATCAGAAATTACTACGTCATAACCATGGCGACTTTGACCTTGAATTAATAGATATTCCTAAAAGTTTTCTTTGCACGATCTGTAAACTGCGAATGGAGAGAAAGAGGAAACACAATATGAAAAAAAAAATCAAGACCTCAACACGTCCTATACACCAGGAAAACAACATATTAAGGGAATAACCTAAATTAAAAAATATTTATAGAAATATAGTGTAAAGTCACACAAATTTATGGTAACCTGTTTTAGCTTCTAGTGTTTCTGTAAGTCTGGATTTAGATATACTCACACAAAACGGAGAAAATGTACAAACGTTGTACTCCGAACATTTTCCTTATCTGTTCTTCAAAAATACAGTCATAATCATTATCACGACAGTCCCTGGACTTAATATAACAAACTGTCTTCAATAGACGGGATATAAGCAATTATGAGGTACAGATATTCTTTCGACGTAAGACAATATTCCGTATTTTTATTCATGACCAACTATTCCTTTCTCTCTATCTCTTTCAACAAAAAGTGATGATTTGAAAACGGAGCACAAAACAATAGAAATATATAAGCATTATAATTCTTTATTTGTATTATTTACCCCTATTTTTTATGCCAAGTACAAATTTTGTGATTCATACGCAAAATCCAGACATTGGTGTTCCGATATGGTCACTTGCACCTTAGCATTATATATATATATATATATATATATATATATATATATATATATATATATATATATATATATATATATATATATATATATATATATATATATATATATATATATATATATATATATATATATATATATATATGGGGGGTTGCTAAAAGTAAAAGGTTCCTATATGGTCGTCCATAAGGAACAATTTCATGTATAAAAAAAAATAATCTCCTACGTTTATGCTGGTACAATATTGTCCCGAAATTGACTTCAGATGGACATCAAATATAGTATCTATATGCAAGACCAAAATTTCGCGAATATTGTTTTTTGTTGTACATAATACACTGTAAAATTAATGTACGCCAGAATGAAATTTTCGCGAGTAAAAGAAATACAGAAGAATACTGTTAGTATATACGAAAAACTTGCAAGGTTTCCAAAAACAAGTAAGATTAAAGGGCAGCTTCTGCACGTTTTGAACGTTCGCGTCTTACTTACTTTCTTGTATTTTAAATTTCATAATGTTCACTTGTGCATCACGTGTATTTTTTAAAAAGTATATTTGTTTCCTAATTATAAAGCCCTTGAATTCTGGAATATTAAAACAAAGGACTAAATAGTGAAAGTTTACGATATTATTCATTGCTAGTATCATTGGTCTGGTATAATTGCCAAGCGCAGATAGACCAGTTGTCGTTGCTAACAAAAAGTATTAAAGTTTAAAAATGATTGGTATGTAAAGGACATGCAACCCTACAAGATTTCTTGACATAAGACAAAGTGCATGATAGTACATCAAACTACCATTATATAAACACTCAGTGAGACATCACTTCTACGTATGGTGTGAACTTAGAAATCAAAAACATTACCCAAGAATCAGCTGATTTGAAATCTAATTTCACATCCATTTTATCGTGAGTAAACTGCAACCTAATTTTATACCCTTCTAATAACACAAGTGGTATACTAGCTGCAATAATGTAGCCCTCTCCGATTGTTTTTTGGCCTCTCCTGAAAATATCAGATTAAAAAAAATCGGAGAGGGCTACGTTATTGCAGCTAGTGGTATACAACTGCATTACTTTTTGGGTTGGAAATTCTGATAACATTTTTTAATTAAAAAAAAAATATATCGATGCCCAATTTCTTTCCCTCTCCCTAGCAAAAGCACCCTTCAGAATTTTTAAATGCCATTTGACGGACCTATAAAAACATCAGAGGTGGGATCATGTGTCATGGAGGAGTAAGTATCCCCTGTCGACCGGTCACACCCGCCATGTGCTCCTTGACATGATCGGGCAAACAGAGAAATCCGTAGTCAATTTTAAAAAATGGCCTAACAATATGCACAAGAAGAAAAAAATTTCCAGTAGACTTTCAGAAAAAAGAAAGATGAACAATCTTTTTTTTTCATTTGGTCAAATAATTTTTCATCACGGACATAATTTTGAAAACAATTACTAAGAAATGGTTTCCACCTGGTTGATGTCTTTTTTTTTTTTTTTTTTTTTTTTTTCTCTTCAAAAACACATCCACAATTCTCCATTATAAGCAACATGACGGTAAATAAAACAAGCAAATAAAAAGACAATTTCTTTAATCAGAAGTTGCATTTGTAAAGACGTTTCAAGGTTCAAGAAGTGAATAGACCTTATATCACAAAAGTTGGCAAAATTTGACACCAAATTTTCAAACCAAAGTGCTAAATAAGAAGTTTTCAGCATTAAAAAAACAGGACAAAAGATATAAACGAAAAAAAAAATCATTTCTTCAAGCAGTACTCTTACGGATACTTATAATAACGTTATCAACCTGTTTTCTCAACAGCAAAAAAAAAAAAAAATAATAATAAAATAAAATAAAGAAAGAGGTGCTAGACACATTTGATGTTGTGAATGCTTATCGTTTTATTCTCTCGGAAGATAAAATCTTTT